GCATATGAATATTTTATTAATCAGGACAGTTCAGGATTAATCAGTAAAGATACAACAATAAGTACTATAATAGGGCAGATATGATCAGTTTGTTGTAAAGAACTTGAGATTAGAAATAAGAATTTCCTAACAGAAAATGTTGTGGGACATTTAAAATTACTGAAGAAGGTTACAGAGTTTCCTTCATTGCAGAATCAAAAATCTGAGTTAAAATGAGTAACCCTCTATGTTGAATAGTTTAGTCACTATCCCTGTTAGAGATGGCATGCTGGGCTCTTTCTAGACTGTACGGGGATGTGATGCTCTTGACTTTGGTAAGCCTTTTGCCATCTTATATTCCTGCGGTGGGTAAGGTTAGACGCAGTGCAATTAAGGGAGGACATTTTTTTCCTAATTTGTTTGTTGATATTTTCCTAATATCTTCTAAAGAGTAGATCATTATCAGTATGCCTATTTGAGTGGTTTGCTAGTCAGTGACTATTTTCTTGGCAAAATGCCTCCATTTCTGACTTACACTAATGTTACTTTTGTCTGTGGACTACACTTACACAAGAAATATATACATTGTAGAAGAAATCTGTAAATACATGCATAATTTCTGTCAGCACTAAGAAGAATTGTGATGCTAATATTTACTGAGCTCCCGCTTCGTAACAGAGACTGTGCTGAGTGCTTTAGTGGAATTGTCTCAGTGATCCACTCCCGCTTCGTAACAGAGACTGTGCTGAGTGCTTTAGTGGAATTGTCTCAGTGATCCACACCACACACCACACTCTGCAGAGCTGTGTTACTGCTCTGTCTTCTCTTAGCAGATGTGACTGAGGCTCAGAGAGCTGAGGAAACATGTTCACAGCCACACACGTAAGAAAGGATTCTGCTGGTTTTCCATCTAAGTCAGTCCGGGGTTTAGGCACTGAATCACTCTGCTGTTATAATAGTGGTTTCCAATTGGGAATTTGCAGATTAGCAATTCTCTCTAATTCACTTCTAGGCAGAAACTTCTCTCATTTTTTAAGTTCTAACGATGTTGTGGGAAACAATAAAATATCTTTAGAACACTGGTTCTCAAACTTGGCTGCACTTTGGAATCACCTGGGAGTTAAAATGCTGGCTGGGTCCCGCCCTCATGTGTTCTGAGTTGTTTGGTATGGAGTGTGGCCTGGACATTGGGACTTCTAAAAATCTCCCAGGTGATTCTAATGTGCAGCAGAGTTTGAGAATGCCTGCTTTGGAACAATGCAAAGTTTTAAATTCCAAATTCTCATCCTTCTGTTAGTGAAAAAAATAATGTTTTTATTATAGAAGTACTACGTATTTACTTTAGAAACTACAGATAAACCCCCCAAAATTACAATTAAAATTATCTGTAATCTCTTCACTGAATGATAACCAGCATGGTATTTGGCTGTGTATCTTTTTCTCCTGTGCATGTTTATGTATTTAAAATCTTAACTATAATATTAGTCTTCTATAGAGTTTTATATATTTAATGCCTGATTGTCTTATATCTGTCTTGTTTATTTACGTGCTTTACCATTCTGAGAAAGTCTTGATTCTTATACACACCTAATAATGTTGTTGGATTAACCCTTATAGACCAGTAAGTCTCAAAGTTGAGCAATGTCTGTATTAGTGGAGAGTTTGTATGTTATTTGAGGTAGCATTTAGGAAACTAACTGATTTAGGTGTCTCTCCTTTGTACTCTGACTTGTACAGCACTTTTTCAGACAGACAAACCTTAGTTTCCTTCTTGTCTCCCTTCTAGATTATTTATTTATTTATTTGTGAGGAAGATCGGTGTTGAGCTAACATCTGCCAATCCTCCTCTTTTTTTGCTGAGGAAGACTGGCCCTGGGCTAACATCCATGCCCATCTTCCTCCACTTTATATGTGACACTGCCACAGCATGGCTTGACAAGCATTGCGTTGGTGTGTGCCCGGGATCCAAACCGGGGAACCCGGGCCGCTGCAGCGAGCGCGCGCACTTAACCACTTGCGCCACTGGGCTAGCCCCCCTTCTAGATTATTAAGGCAAAGCCCATATGGCTTGTATCCCTGTGCTCTGGCGTGCGGTACATGCTCAGTGAATGCTGGGGTGGATGAACAGACAGACAGATGTGTTCTGGCATCTGAGGTGGGAGTGGTGGTTATAGTTTGAAAAAAGTAATTACTGAAGTAAATTCAGATGAGGAAAATTATTTGGGGATGTTGGGGTAGTGGGAAGAGAGGATAAGAGTGGGGTTGAGATAAGGACAGGGACTAGGGCACACTTCAGGGTAGGTAAGCCACAGATCCTTGGAGAAAGGTAACAAGCCCTCTAGTTCCAGAAACGTCTTGCCCTTGGCCCCCAATAGGCTCAGTCTTCCCTGGGAATACCCACACCCCCTACCTGCGTCTTTCCATCTCCGCATCCTACCCACTTGTCATAATAAAAAGGCTGAGTCAGATATACTTTCAGAGTAAGAACCAAATAGTTTTTGAAATTTGCTGCTCCCCAAATATTTTACTGATAAAGACTTGGGTAAAAAACCACTGTAGTGTAATGGGGTTCAGTTAGGGTACAGCCAGAGCCTGTCAGTTAACACCTGTCATTTCCTTTCCTACAAAGTTTGGGGCTGAGGAAGAATTTAAATAAAAGGTGAGGAGGGGACTCAGAGCGTTGAAGGCCGGATGAGGGATTACCCTAGAGGGGAGTAATTGGGGAGATGTTACAGGTTTGCTGGGCCAGCCATCCCTGTCTTCAGTAAGGCCCAGACAACTCTGGGCTGCTCGCTGAGGTATTTTTGGTACTGCAGCCACAAAGCTAAACAGCTCTGCGTTGCATGATTTATGAAGGATTTTCTTTTTCATACTAACTTCTTATAATGTAACTTGATCACCAATAGATTTTTTAATCACCCTTAATCACAAGGCCTGTAAATCAGAATTATTTAGACTTTCTTTTTGGCTCTTAAAAACTTAACTTTTATTTTAAGAATGTGTTATGATCTTTACTTGTTTATGACTGTCCATTTTAAACAAATTTTTATTAAAAAGGAGAAATTGCAAATGTATACATTTTACTTCATCAGCATGTAAGGTACATACATTATTTATATTGCTGAAATCCTTTATAATTGAGACATTTATGTGGTTCCAAAAGCTACAAGAAAAATGAGAAACTATTTCTCTTTTTTTCTCCTCTTTTTATTGAATTCATGATGACTTTAAAAAAATATGAAGGCGTTAAAGATAGTTAAAACCATCAGATATCCTGCTTTACTTAGAATAAAACAGAAAACAAAATTAAAGAATAAAATAGCAAGCCTGATTTGTTTATCTGAATAACACTTGTCTCACTATAAGATCATAATGAAAGAGAGGGAATCCTTACAGTTACGTCATATAGTGTGGCAAAAAAATAAATAAAAGAAATGCTACAGACAATATTTATTCAGATAAATATGAAACTTATTCAGTCCAGTGAAACTTTGAGATTTCTGAAGTGCTGTGCCAGTTGTTGGAGCCAGGAGTATATTATGATTTAATGGTATCTCTCTGCTGCATTTGATGAGCTGTCCCAGAAAAACATTGTGAAGCAATAAAGTATCCATTTGGCTCCTAAGTAATGAGGGAGGCATTGCTCTTTGCATTAACTATTTATTCAGGAAGAAGAGTGACCAATTGCTAATAAGCTTTATCCAAAAAAGCTTGTGGAAAATAGAAGAAAATGCAAAAGTGATGTTCTCTTCAATTTCGTATGCAATTAACAAATACCCAATGCTGAGCGGTTGGTTCTCCTCTTGCATGTGACTTCTGGCCGGCTGTATTTAAGTGCAAGTGCCTGTCAGATCTATTAGAGGCCTCTTGGGTTAAGGAAGGATCATGTAGCCTAAACTAATGACGGATGAGAGGAGGCAGTGACTGGTGAGTAGCTAAGATTGGGCTGATCCCTATAATTTTGAATGATGGACTTATTTTCTAAGATGAACAGTAGTGATCAAGGCTTGCTAGTTTACTCCTTTTGGGGAGGGTTTCTTTTTTTTTTTTAGATGATTATTCCTTTTTCATGATTTGAAAAATCTACTCTATAATGCAATATGTCGATTATCACTTGATCAAATGGGTTTTAACCTGAGAAAATGTCTTATTTGCTTCATAAATAAATATGTAGTTTGTTACTTAGAAATAGTTTCTAGGTTGGAATGTAATGTTTTGCTCAGAATATTCACACTTAAATAGGGGCTTCTTTCAAGTCATTTCAGAATCTTACTTTGAAGCACTTTTGGTGCTATAACGGCTTGAAATTTTCGTTCCACTTGCTTTAAGATTCTTAATATAATTAATTTGCGTTCTTTAGTGACATGAAAAAAGGTGAAAGTCACAATTATTTTCTTCCCTCAAAGCCAACTAAAGAACTCTTATGCTAATTCTCCTTCCCTGCTCTCACTAAAAAGTAGTACAGTGGAGTTCTACACAGTGGGAAAAAAATCCTTCATACAAATCATATTAAAATAGACAGTGGAAATGATATGTAATTCCAACATTATTTAATAACATAATATTCTCGATACCATCATAAACAAATTATGAAATCATTTAACAATGCGTTCTTTTGATTTTCAATTAAAAAATGTCCATATTGAAAACTATATATTAATTCTAAGCTTACTATGAATTACTTTAAAGTAAATTTAAAATCAGTTTTCAAGATACATTCCATAAAATAAGAATACATTGTTTATTTGGGTTCATGGCCTTTGGTAAAGGGCTAAAAAGCCTGAAAAGTAAGTAGCAATGAGATCAAAGACAAGAAAAGGCTTCTTAGAATTTTTCTTTCCTAGACCACACTGTATCATACTCAGAACTAAACTCATTTATGTTACAGAGAATGTTACTTTCTTCATCAAAGAAATAAGGACTCAGAGAATGGAAATGGAATTACCTTGTAAAATGTTAGGTTTTGCAATAATCTCTCTTGTTGGTTATTAACAATCATTAGATTGAATTATCCCGTTCAGATCATCACTCCATTCAGAAGACTGATGCTGTGCGCTGAGAACAGAAAGGAGATGGAGGATTGGATCAGCTCACTGAAGTCTGTACAGACCAGAGAACCTTACGAGGTAGAGTAGCATCTCTTCTGTCGTCTTGTGTTCTTAGAAAATAAATGTTAACCAAAGAGCTAAAGCTGTATTCTGCAAAAAAAAAGAGTGTGTGGATTAATTCAGCAGCTTGTTGAAACCTGATATTGAAATTTTGTTTACTTTAAGCAAAGAGTTTTAGTTTTAAAAATTATGGATTTGAAATTTTAATCATAACTATATACATCTCGAATAGTTAGCATCTGTAATCTTGATCTCTTGTTTGGAAAACCTGTGCTAACGTCTCATTTCTAGGTGGCCCAGTTTAATGTGGAACATTTCTCAGGGATGCATAACTGGTATGCCTGCTCCCATGCCCGACCCACTTTCTGTAACGTGTGCCGAGAGAGTCTTTCTGGAGTCACCTCCCATGGCCTGTCCTGCGAAGGTACTGGAGCATCCAGCATATGTTCTCCCTCAACACAGACTGTATTGTAAACACTGCCGTTGGCACTTCTGTGACACAAACAGAGAAATATCATCACAGAAAAACATTTTCCTTGGGTGGAAGCAGCTTCTAGGAGCATCTCAGCAGGAACATAGTGTTTAAGTTTCATTGTAGCTTAAAGTGGAGCTCTGCACACATAGGACTAACCTAGGAAATATTTTTGCTGAGGAAACGATAACATAAAATCATTTGAAAGGATGTAGAAATCAAAATGTAACGTTTCACTCCTGAGGAACTAGCAACTGCTGTTTAAAAAAAATCTTTAGGGGCCAGCCCAGTGGCGTAATGGTTAAGTTTGCACACTCTGCTTTGGCGGCCTGGGGTTCACAGGTTTGGATCCTGGGCGCCGCCCTACACACCACTTATCAAGCCATCTGTGGCAGGCGTCCTGCATATAAAGTAGAGGAAGGTGGGCACAGATGTGAGCCCAGGGCCAATTTTCCTCAGCAAAAAGAGGAGGATTGGCAACAGATGTTAGCTCAGGGCTAATCTTCCTACCCAAAAAAAAAAAATCTTTAGACTTTGTATGTCTTTCTAGTTCTCTAGCATCCTTTTTCTGTTGAGATTGATTATGGAGAATAAAACTTTCTGTGAGGAGGGTATATCCTCTGGCAGAATTTCTGATTGTTACTTGTTCATTGTTTTAAAATTTCATTTATGTTTAATTTAAACGGATGCCACTTTTTAATTTCTTTAAAGTTTTCTAAAAATAAGGCCTATGCTGTTGTTTTCGTTATAGGATTTGTGGGTTGTTTTTTAATTTAAGAGCAGTGACCACTAAAAGCAAATACACTAATAATTACCAAGAGAAAACTCATAACTTCTTTAGATTTATTTAATTTCATGTGTCATTGATCACACCATTGTGTACTACTTTTTGAATTATGTATAATGTGTACTACTTTTTGAACTAATACTAGCTTTTTTCTCTAATACAAAAAATTCTTAAGTAATTTTGCGTACAACTTTGTTATAATTAAATAATAAAATAGTAATAGAGTCACAGTTTTAATTCATTTTAAAATATAAAGTCTGAGATGTTTCAGCTGTTTAGTATGATGCAGCGTAGCGATTAAGAGCAGAGCTGTGCAGCTTAACCCTCTGTGTCCAGTCCCACATCCAGCATTGTGGGCTGTGACCAGGAGAAGTGGTTTAACTCCTTTAGACTTTTGGCTCCTCATCTGTAAACTGGGGAGAATAGTCATTTATGTCTCATAGAACACTATGAAAATTAAATCAGAGAATGCGTATACTAAAACTACTTTTCTAGTCAAATAAATTGTAGAAGTTTGTAACTGTGCTCTGTAAGAAATTTATCAAGTAAATAGTTAGATTGCACCATGGCCTGATGCATTAAAATTAATGAAAATGAACATGGAGGAGACATTAAACATTTTTTTAGATTTAAGGAATGATTACAAAGAAAGATATAATTGGCCTCTTTGACTTTAGTGATCTAAAAGGGTTCCTGTGGCTCTGAGTTACTCCCACTAGATCTGTAATATTATGGGGTTTTGAAGGGCTTTTTACTATTGCCTTCTAGTCTCTCATCCCAAAAATACTAAAAAAGATATCATATCTGAGCTACTCTGTGGTACCCTTCTGATTTGAGAGTTATGCATTATTAAGTATGTTTAATTGTTTAGGAATTGAAGTTAACAGTGGGATGACTATATATTTTTCTAAGCATTTTAAAAGAAAAATGAAAATTACATTAGCTGGTGAGAATAAGAAACTTAAAAGTCTTTAAATAAATTTGTTGTATTAGTCTATTAATAATGAAGTCTTTCTGACTTTTAAGTCTCAATTATTGTATTTTTAAATTGTACTTTTAGAGGAATATACCTTAGTGTTCATTTTCTCTGCTGATAAAAATTTTAAGTCCGCAGCATCATGCCCGTTAGTATTTTTAGAACTGTAGCGAGAGGTTTTAAAAATCCTATGGGTTTTATGGATATATAAAAAAGTTACCTTTTTATTTTATGAAAATGTGGTTATTTAGGATATTTTTATTGTAATCAAAGTTATATTTAAACTTTAGAAACACCCCCAAAATCTGAATAAACTAGTTGCTTCATAAAACTAAAGGCATAAGATACAAGAGGCTTTGGGCCGGCCCCATGGCTTAGTGGTTAAGTGCGCGCGCTCGGCTGCTGGCGGCCCGGGTTCGGATCCCGGGCGCGCACCGACCCACCGCTTCTCTGGCCATGCTGAGGCCGCGTCCCACATACAGCGGCTAGAAGGATGTGCAGCTGTGACATACAGCTATCTGCTGGGACTTTGGGGGAAAAAATAAATAAATAAAATTATTTAAAAAAACAAAAAAAAAACACAAGAGGCTTTAAAAGTTATAACAGAGATGCAAATACAAGAAAAATTCATTCAACAGTGATAATGAATAACTTTGTATTAAATAGAATCCAGCTTCCGGGGTATGAAGCCATCACTAAATTTACTTAATCTTTCTATCCTTGCTTTTCATAATAAAATGAGGCTGTACTGATTTGTCTTCTGAGTTTGTGTTAAATAATAACTAAAATTATTATTTTAAAGCCCTTGCATATATAAAATATATCACTAAAAAATAGAAAAAATACTTTTCATAAATAATCCTTTAAATCAATTGAGAATATTAATTATAACTTCAGAGCATAATTATTTTTCACAGTTATTTAAACAGTAATTTAACAAAGTTAAATGGTGATTTTTTCTACATCAACAGCATCAACTATGTCAATGTGTGCTTATGAATTTTTATCTCAGCTATTGAACACTTACAAAGATTCAGTGTGGTAAAGACTGAATATTACAATAAAAAATCATAATTTTATTACATGTCAGTGTATTTTTTAAGTTCTGTGGTTTTAAAATAATGGCTTCATAGGTCAGGGAAAAGTGCTTTATTTCAGAATAACTTGTTTAGAGAAATTTAATTGTCACCTAACAAAACTAAGGTGCCTGTTAATCATTTCCATTCCTTACTGATCATAATTACAATCCAGTTTGTTTTATTATACCATTATATGTTATATCGAGCAACTTTGTAATTCTCAAGGCTCATTGCATGAAGCACTTTATTATTAAAAAAGTGTGATTTTTATTTTTAATGAGCTGTTTGATTTAATGGCAAAATTTTCAAAAGGCAATGAAATTATACCCTGTTGTCCTCTTTGTACTTCCTTCTTTGCCTCTTAGAAAACAGTTATTGACTTATATCAAGTAATTATTTGTACTTAAAAAGCAGCCTGGGCATTCTGTCGCAGATAAAACTAAAGGTAGGACCCTACTTTTGAGAAATACCGTGATAGATCAAAAGGCCTAGAGAAGCTAACCAGCCACAGTTTTAAAATAGTCACTTGTATTGGAGCAAAGGGGAGCTGGCCGTACTAAAGTTGTTTTTCAAACTAAGCTTACTTCCTGTAATGCTGTTTCCTTAACACTATTGTTTATCAGCAATAAAATTCAATTGAAAAATTGTTTTCCATATGAAGTCTGTGCTCAAGTCAAAAAGTTATTTATAACAAAAATAGTATGGTTTCCAGGAAAGAATTTGTCAGTGTACACAAAATAGCAAGTAAATGAAACATTCCAATGTCTGTAGACTAATATTTTTCAGGGAAAAACCAGCTCAGTTTAAGTGGCCATTTATATATCAGCTGTTCATAATACCTGAAGCGTTCTGAACATTCGGCTATAAACGTCTTACTTATTTTACCTCACCCTTTCGTTTTCATGTTACATTAAATTAGGACAATTTAAGAGAATGGTGTGTAACCATCATTTCAAATTTGTTAATGGTTTATTGGTAGAAATTCAAAAATCACGTGAAAAGGAGCCACCTTCCATTTAGAATTTAGCAACAGCTACCTTATTATGTTTTCACTGAAACGATCTCTACTTTTAAATATTTGTCTGAAAAGTCAGAAGCTGTTATAACATCAGTATCCATGAATGATTGGATAATTTGTGTCCTTAGAAGAATGAGTTTAGTAGTAGTCAAGTTCTGATTTTCATGAACAAGGGTTAATTTTTCAAATAATCTGTGGTATACTTGTTTTTTCATAAGTGTGCTGCTTCTCTCTTGGTTGTTTCCTCTTGTTTCTCTTTTGTAGGCTCCTTTGTGATAATGTGGCAGTGGAGAATTAGTGATGCGTGTAGTGGGAACATCACTTCATCATTCCTTTCTTCTCCATCATCATGTAGTCATCCCAGCATAATACTTTCAAAAGGCAGTGTCATCTTTGTGACCCTCATCAACCTATTTCCCGTGATGCCTGGATATTTTCTTGACATACTTGCACTTTACAACTCCTCTGAGTTGTCCTGTTCTTTATCTTACTGATATTGCAAACTTTTAATTTTAAGTATATTATATGTACAGAAAAATGCAAACATCAGAAGTGTACAGCTCATTGGATTTTCACAAATTAAACACACTTACGTAATCAGACCCAGATTAAGAAAATGGATGTTACCACAGCACCTCTATGTCACTGCATTTTATTTTCTTCTGTGTTTATGTGTGTGTACATGTTTGTATGTCTCCCTTCTCCTCAAGAACTAATTCTTTTGTATTCATTTCCTTTCTCCTCTTCTTTTATGAGTAAGTGGAATCTCTTTAAGTAGCAATCTATAGCTTTATAAAAGTGCTTCATAACTACATAGCCATATTTTCTTTTTAGAATACCATTACTATTATTGAAGAGTAATTTAAGCTTTTAAAATTATTGCTTTTTTTCTACCACCTCCACCTTTAAAATTTCATGCTGTGATTTCCTTTTCATCATTGGTCCAAAAGTACATACTCATTTAGAAATGATTGACTTTTTTTCAGTGTGTAAATTCAAGGCTCACAAAAGGTGTGCGGTGAGGGCGACGAACAACTGCAAATGGACGACGCTGGCCTCCATCGGGAAGGACATCATAGAGGACGAAGACGGAGTAAGCTCTGTCCTGTCTCTGACCTCTTCCCAGTACCTCCTCTCCGTTGTTTTCTGCTCCTGTGGAAAATTATGACAGAGAGTTAAGTGGGAGTGTTTATTGTTAGGACTAAATGGAAGATTTTGATTGGTTATGAGTTTTACTTTCAATTCAATCCTTCATCGCTTCCTTCAGCCCTTCAATTTTGAGGGAAATGTGTGACTAGGGCTTAGGAATTGTGGTCGTGCTGGGCTGGTGTTGTAGACCCTTATCTGACAAACTGAGTTAGTCTTTAAGGCTCTGCTCAGCTGTTTACTCAGGTGTTTACTCCTCAGACGTTGGGGCTTCCTCTCAACAATGCCCCTACCTTCAAAACCTTGTCTCCGGGGGCCGGCCAGGTGGCACAAGTGGTTAAGTGTGCGCGCTCCGCTGCAGCGGCCCAGGGTTTGCTGGTTCGGATCCTGGGCGTGCAATGACACACTGCTTGTCAAGCCATGCTGTGGCGGCATCCCATGTAAAGTGGAGGAAGATGGGCACGGGTGTTAGCCCAGGGCCAGTCTTCCTCAGCAAAAAGGAGGATTGGCAGATGTTAGCTCAGGACCGATCTTCCTCACAAAAAAAACCACAAAAAACAAAAAAAAACAAAACCTTGTCTCCATTGCACCTTGCGTAAATATCTCTGGTAGCACTTTGTGATCACTGTATGATAATCCCTTTACCTACCTTTCTCCTCAGCTAGACTGATGGGCAGGGATTTAGTCTTACTTATCATTGCATCTTTACAGTGCTCGGGGCATAATGGATGCTCAATAAATATGGTATGAATGAATGGATGCCATGATTGATAGATATTACTGATTCCATAGAGTAAGAAATAGTGATATGTCCCTAGGGTAAGAATGATGTCCTCCACAGTCTGATTTGACTGCCCTTTCTTCCTGCTCCACAGGTGGCTATGCCTCACCAGTGGCTGGAGGGTAACTTGCCTGTGAGCGCCAAATGTGCCGTCTGTGACAAAACGTGCGGCAGTGTTCTCCGTCTTCAAGATTGGAAATGCCTTTGGTGTAAAACGATGGTGAGTTTTATAATTATTTTCCTTTTTAATTAGCTTCGTTTTGTAACTTCTTCATCTGTGTATTTTAGAGGCAAAGCAGGGAATTTATGGCGTCGCAGAGCCTGGTAGCACACCCACCCATTGTAACTTTCAACCTTTTTCAAGGTATATTCCTTCCAGTCTGGTTACATTTTCAAATGCTTTTTTGTAATACTTACTTTTGTTATGTATTTCCTTTGTCTAAGGACCTCTTTTTATTGTTTTTCATTATGCTTAAGCCACACTTAGTGGTTTGCTATTTTTAGGCCTGTTTTACCACCTGTTGCACACAGAAAGCCACCAAATTTTGATTGACATGCGAAGTGTAATTTTGCTATAACCCTGTGTATGTGCTCTGACAGACAGAACGCCGAGTTCAGTAGGCCATGCACTGATATAATTTAAATTATATACATTTATGTTATAAAAATAAATAAATATTTTAAAACTTCCTTGCATGTGCAAGAAAGCAGTGAGAAGCACACACAGCATAATGTGGAGCCAGTGGCAGGGAACGGTCCTGTCTATGCCAGACTGCGTGAGGCCTGGGCCTCCAGACTGCACGAGGGCAGTCAGAGCAGGAACTCAGAGGATGAACTCAGGCCACTCAGTGGCTGACGAAGAGCTAAAGGATGACGGAATGAGGAGGCAACAGCTGTGAGTGCTTGTCTTAGCCCTGGGCCATGCTGTCCGAGTATGATGGTGACTGCCTTGCATTGGAGCTGATTTGCTTGGTTTTGTTTTGAGTCTTGGAAGTCAGCCTCCCATCCCCAAAAAGGTGGACAAACCATTGCTTTTAATGCAAATGGTGTAAGTCAGCCAATGTAAGAGGTGTGAGTATGACGTGTCGACTTCCTAATCAGTGAGACCTATTCCATCGGCCACAGAGGAAAATAAGTCCTACAGTTTTGTAGTCAGACCTGATAGGTAATCTGTGTTTCCTCTTCATTTTTAAGTCAGACATGGTTCTTTGTCCTCATGCTTCTGTTGTTCTTCATCAGTTGCCTCTTTTATTAGCCATAGGTGTTACTTTTTATTTCTCTTATCCCATTTAATATAATATATAGGCTATATTAGAAATCTCTCTTTGGCATTTTGGTGCAACCCTAACGCCTAAAACCCTCCCATGCCGTTCTTTATTTTATTTTATTTTTCATGACAATAACTGCTGCCTTTTGTTTTTTTCTATTCCATTCCTTATTTTAAATGAGTGCTCCTGAAAGGCCGGTAAGATAAAATTTAAATAAATAAATAAATAAGTGCTCCCGTAAACAAAATTTTAAATCTTCATCCCATCTAAGATTTATTTTTCGGGGGGACAACCACTGATGTAGGCACTGACTGCTATTTTTATTAGTCTCCACATTTACCGAAGCCTATTTCTCTACTTCTACAACTTCAGCTGTTGTAACTTTTTAACAAGAAAGCAGATCCTGTGAGTGATGAATTATTTTAGAAAGCTTTTGTGTAAGCTGCCTTTACCTGCAATATGTAGGTCTCTACTTGTATTTAGTCAGTGGTTTTTAAACTTTACTAACTTTAACAGTAGGTATTATTAGGTTTTGTACTTGTTCACTCTACTCACCCCCCACCTTTAAAAAATTTCACAAATAGAAGTATTATTACAGATTTTAGAAGGAGGCATTCTAGGATGTCCTTTCCTTCTTTTCTTCCTGACAAACTTAAATATCACCTTAATTGTGAAATCATTCCTGCCCTGTCCCGTGTTGTTTTGCCGTGTGGGTTTCTGGGCCACTGTCACCTTGTTACAAACTCTTTGTCTTGTATTTCCTGTACACTATCATTTGTCTGTTCACATATTATTTTGCCTTTAAAATATGAGTCTTAAACAACAGAATACCTAGTGTCTAAACATAGTCGTCAGGTTAAAAACAAAACAAGACAAAACCATAGTTCCACCATCCTAATGAGTCAACTCCTAATTTTTCCAGCTGTTTTGCAATCTCTGGACATACTTTTGCCTTTTCCATAAAAGTAGTGAAGATGCAATTTTCTGTTCTGCTTTTCTCATTTAACATTGTTATAAATATTTTTCCATTTTGCTCTATGATTCTCATACTTTTTTTTTTTTTTTTGAGGAAGATTTGCCCTGAGCTAACATCTCTGCCAGCCTTCCTCTATTTTGTGTGTGGGTCGCCGCCACAGCATGGTTGATGAGTGGTGTAGGTCCGTGCCCAGGATCTGAACCTGCAAAGCTGGGCTGCCGAAGCAGAGGGCGCTGAACTTAACCACCACACTGTGGGGCCGGCACCTCTGTGATTCTCATACATTTTTAAATTCCTTTTAAAACTGTGCCTGCTCACTTTTCTAAAATCTACTTGGATTGTTAATTATTATAAATCACAATAGGAAACTGTCCAAAACTAGGTCATCAGCAGAACAAGAATCACTATTACATTTCAATTATTTTCTCAAAAGTTTTTATAAATATGTGTTTAATTAATATCCAGTTTTCTAAAAGAACTAATGAAATAATGCCATGTTAAATAAGTGCTTTATGAAGCGTCTGCTTTTATTGCTTAACACATTTAAAGACTCTCTAGGTAAGTACATCAAGTGTTCTAGATTGCGTGGGTCCTACTTAACAAGTTAGCCCTGCTTTTGTTCTCAATAGTATCTTGGATGACCTTGAAACTTTTTGTTTCTACAGAGTTAACACATTTACTGAGTGTCTGTGATGTATATCACTTTCCAAGTTGAGTGTACAATGCTAGGACCTTTTTCTTTTCCTTACAGAGCCAGAAGTCTAGCTGAGAAAATAGTCACGGATGTACTTTAACTATAATAACATGAAAATGTTATAAACGAGGTGTGAATAGAAAGTTATAGGATCACTGCAGAAAGAGCAGACACATTACAGATTTTATTTATTTTCATTAAATTCTATAAGAATTTTATAAGGTAGACATCCGTTTTTTTTAATGAAAAATGATATTGACACATACTAGTTAGCTTCACTCCCTTCCTCTCTCTCCCTTACTGCCCCCCTTCCTCCCTTTTTCCCTCCCTTCCTCTGCACTCCTTTCTCTTCTCTTCCTCTCTCCTTGGCTTCACCAGGCATTTATTGACTCTGTACTACTTGCCTGAGACAATCATGAAAATAGGCTGCACAGACCAAATCAAATTCCCACCTCTAAAATGATTAGCCCATTCCTTAGAAGTATAAATGGTGTGCCATTAAAGTAATTTATGAATTACCAAACATTTTGTGATGCAGTTGATCTTCACTTATGAGTTCCTTAGATTTAATTTATAACATAAGAAAACATTGATTTATTTTTATGATTCTTGAAAGTTTATTTGTTTGTTATTAGGTACATACTGCCTGCAAAGATTTATACCACCCTATATGTCCACTTGGCCAATGTAAAGTGTCTGTCATACCTCCAATTGCACTAAACAGCACTGATTCTGATGGTATGTAGCAGTAGTGTAAGTATGTATATTCCTGGTATATTGAATGTTGATATGTACATTCATTTTCCTAGGGTAAATAGAATTGTAGCTGGTTATTCTTGTCAGTTTTTATATAATAATTCCTTTTAAATTGCTGAAGAGTATATTTAATTTTAAAAAAACATGTTAAAATTAAAGTTTAACATAGCTATTAACACATTGGTAAAATTTCTGTGTATAGAACTTTTAGATTTTACATTTCAGCAAGTAAGATCATTATTCTGTACCGAAATGCAATTTGAAAGGTTAATTTTTTGCAAGTGTTTTCTTTTCCTCCATAATTGAAACCACCCATTAGCATAGCTCTTATTTAGCAATCTGTTCTCCTATATTTTCACAAATTGCAGGAATTTATCTTACTATAAATTTATTCACTTTTTCCAGAATCTTACAATTTAGACGTACGTGCTGATAAACCTATTTGCAACGGTGGTTTTGGAATAGCACGCTAATAACTTCCTTCCAAGCAAACCATATTACAAAAGGCTTACAAAAGGCTTTTCCCATATGCTGTTAAAGTTTTGCGTTGGTAAAGTGCCTTATGCTTGTCAAACTTTTTATATAAATTATGCCAATAGATATCATAGATGTAAGGATATAAGCCTCAAAAGATGTGATTTTTTTTAACCTATGCTATTAAAAGCACCTCCCCCCCAAGCCCTGATATACCAAGGTTCTGTTGTTTTTTATAAATTGTAAAATATTTTCTCAGGCCTCATCAAGAAGCAGTTAATATATTTTATAATACTGAATACGAACATATGAATCCTTTGACAAATGAGAATTTATAGGCTGTGATTGGTTTTTCTTATAATTAAGTGTTGTTAAGGCAGGTAGTATATCTCAAATTATCTATGATTAATACTTTTACCATCTTTGGTATGATTTTTCATTATAAAGCATAATTAAAAAGACAAGTTCTATATTCTTAGTATGTAAATAATAGGCCTATCTCCATTTTGGGGCTAAATTATAACTTACTGTTAAAAGTAATGAACAGGGTTCTTTATTTTTATGAATTTATCTTCTTTTCTCTGAAATTTTGTTAATAGTTTAAGAGAGAGAGAGCTGTATGTATTAACCTTGCACTGTGTTTTTTTTTTTACAGGTTTCTGTAGAGCAACATTTTCATTCTGTGTTAGTCCTCTGTTGGTTTTTGTCAATTCTAAGAGTGGAGATAATCAGGGAGTAAAGTTCCTTCGACGATTTAAACAGTTGCTAAATCCGGCTCAGGTGTTTGATTTAATGAATGGAGGGCCTCATTTAGGGTAATTGATTATTGATAAATCTCGTTTGAATGAAATGTAGTACTGAGCATGAAATATGTTTGGCTTTTCAGTTCATGAAAATTATAGATTCGTCTAGACATCTCTGCGTTGGTCTTCCCACTCCTCCCTTTTTTAAAGCTCTAATTATAAATTTTAACACAACCTCTTTGATATTTATGTAACTTACTTATGTCCAAAAAATTCCAAAATTGTTTAGAAGGTATTTTAGAATATATCCTACATGAAATAATACTAATAGTTTGCTTAGCTCTAAGGAAGATCAACTTGTGTAAATATAAAAATACAAAATGACTTTAGACAATGATTTGCGTGGAAGGCTAATATTAATTTTTATATAATACAAATAATCAATTATTTAACCAAAACACAGATGCTATCATGGGTCTCAAGGACAGTTCCTCAAGGATTTCACTCAGTTCACACAAATGACAAAAAATACTTTTGTTGATTGTTTGTTACAGCTTTCTGGAATGTCATATAACTTAAAATCTGAAAAAAATATTTTTAATGAGGGAAATATACCTTGAAGCACTTTTAATGCATTTGTAGTGTATGCATATGATTTCTGTTGAAGAGGGGTTATTGTGTCATCTGAACCAGGGGCTTGCAATCTCTATACGTTTGCTTATGCCAACTCAGCTTTTCTCTTGGGTTCCACTGTCACCTTAAGGTATGAACACAGAGGTAGAAATGGGGATTTTAGATACCCGTGCCTGAAGAGGCCTGTTGTGTTTTATAATTTAACACTTTCCTCTCTTCTCTGTTTCTCTCCTCAGTCTCTCTTTGTGCCTCTTTTCACTTTTGTCCCTTCGGGATCTTCCTTCTTGTTTCCATTACCTTTTTCCTGCGAAGCCCCATGACTCTTTTGGTCATGTGGGTGTTGATCGTCTTCGTTTGTACCCGCCTCCTTCCTTATCTACTTGCACATCCCCTCCTTTCCCCTGTGTGGGTCCTGGCACTTCCTCATCTAGCCTGTCTTCTCACCTTTCTTCCATTGCTGGTTAGCTTTGTCTCTCTTTCTAGCACATCCTTTTTAATCCTTCATAGTTCCAATATCTTATATTCTTGACATTTATTTTTCCCACCCCTCCTCTAAGATTCCAAGGAACTCCCTTTGTGAAACTTCTTGAGATTGTCTCTATAACATATTTTTCAGATGTTCCGCAATACTTGAGGTGTACAAAGGTACATTCAGGAGGTGGATGTGTCAAAAGTTGAGAGGAGGGGTGATAGAAATAAAAACATTGACCTGAGAATAGGGGAAGAGGAGGAGAAAAGGCAGCCGGGAGTACTAGAAGTGGTACACTGGCCAGGTTTGGTGGGTCTCTTTAGGAACTGCCTCAGGTGCCACTCAATGGCATCACGTCCTACATTCCCCTGGTTTGTAATATGCTGTTCTCAAGGAGATAACATATCCTTGTAATGGAGAGAGAAAAATCACTGCTTTTGCCATTTTGTATCACTTACCTTTCATTCTCTTTCCTGGTTCTGCTGCTTTTTTTGTTTTCTCATTTCTCACTTCCCTTTCCTTCTAATTTTATCTCCATTTCTACTTAGAATCCTCTTTCCTCTTCATGCTTCAGAAATTTTCTTGGGTTAAAAATTGCACTCAAATTGATTTTTATAGTGTACTTAATATGTAAGAGTTCTTATATTTAATCTGAACATGAATACCAATAAATACAGAATAACAAAGAATCGGGGAAAGTGATTTTTTATTTATTTATATTAAAATAAAATACTTTTTACTTTCAGTCTAAGATTATTCCAGAAGTTTGACAATTTCCGGATTCTTGTGTGTGGAGGAGATGGAAGTGTAGGTTGGGTTTTGTCAGAAATTGATAAGCTCAACTTGAATAAACAGGCAAGTACTAATTCTTTTCATTGCTAATTAACATGAAAGTACACTAACCTGCTGACCAGAGAAGGGCAGAAATGTAATAGTCTCTATTTCTCAGCTTGTGTGAGGTCTCCCTCTTGTGTGTCTTTCAGTGTCAGCTGGGAGTATTGCCTTTGGGTACAGGAAATGACCTTGCCCGGGTTCTTGGCTGGGGAGGTTCATACGATGACGACACTCAACTTCCTCAGATACTAGAGAAGCTGGAACGAGCCAGTACCAAAATGTTGGACAGGTAAAGGGAACTCTCTTCTAAAACTAGATTGAAAATGGCATACTGAAATCATTTTTTGACAGTTTAAATTTTACTGACTATAACCTCCACGTGGGCAGAGACTTCTTGGCCTCATTGATTCTTTCACCCTTGAGGTCTGGAGCACAGCCTGACATAGAGTAGACACTCAATAAATATATATTTTTTGACTGAATGAATGAATCGTAACAAAACCTGAGAAAACTAGCCTAATGAACCCATTATTTTAAAGATAGAAGGCTATGTTGATACCAATAACTTTTAATTGCTGTTCAGGTCAGAAAGCTTAAAGAGTTAATTTGGGGGGGATGCTATTTATGAGTATAATAGGTATGGCCCCATCTGTGGTCTTGTTAAAGCTAAGAAAGACAGATAAACTTTAGATTTGTTAGAATATTTCTTCTTAATTATACATAGTAAGAATAAATTTAATCAACAAAGATTCAATGCTAAAATGCTTTTAAAAAACATAATCCTTTCCCAGGGACAGGGAAGTACAGTCATGTGTTGCTTAATGACAGGGATACATTCTGAGAAATGCAATGTTAGGTGATTTCTTTGTTGTGTGAACATCATAGACTGTATTTACACAAACCTACATGGTATAGCCTACTACACACCTAGGCTAGGTGTTACTAATCTCACTGGACCACCGTTGTATATGCAGTTCATCATTGACCCAAATGTTATGTGGCTCATGACTATAGGTATTAGGAAGACAGCTTCACATGAAGGAACTGTCACTGTGTTTGTGGTATCCTTGATCACATCTGTTAACTGCTTTCTCTCTAAGTGGCCCATGTATAAAAAAGCAGTCACATTGTGTGCACCCTGAGTATTTCGGAGGAGATGTTTAGAATTTGGGTATAGGGAACAACAGGATTCAGTAAGCAGTAGATGCCCCCTTCCCCCAATACGTAGAAGACAAATGTCAAAATATCATTATAAACTTGAGCTGGCATGAATCAAAACAACTCTGATAGGATTAGCCATCTGTGGAACTCTTCCCGAAAATAACAAAATCTCATCAGGGAGCCACCAATCTAAAATGTAATTACTCGAAGATGAGCTATAACCTAGTTAATTGTAACCTTGTCTGCCATAAGGTAATGTAGTAATGGTTGATTCTTTTGCTGAGAGAATATTTTACAAGTGAGCTGGGCTGTAGAACATTTGTCTATGTTTATCCAAAACTATTCATGAGAGGGATACCCCAATAGTTTGGGTGCATAAAGTGGATTCAGTCTCCAGTCTTTAAAAGAGCCTGTAGGTGATTTCCCAGACTCTGTTACTAAACCACACAGGGTATTTTAAATGGCTTTTTGTTGCAAATTTAAATACCACTCTGTCATTGCATTGTAGGAAATGCTGCTAGGCATTTCCTCTGCCCTGGGTGTGTGCTTTTCCCTTGTGTGTTATAAAAATTAACTTCAGGTGGTTAGCAGAGAAACAGCGCCCCATGGTGAAATTCCTTGATACAGACCTGCAAAACACAAGAAGAAAAAACAAATCAAAGGGGGTTAAAAAACCTAGGACCGTTATTAGAAACATAAGAATATTTTGTTCCTGTGTTTTCCTTACTAATTTAAGAATACTGTTTGTAGAGAGTAGGTGAAAAATCACTGTTTAATATTCCAAATTATAGAAGCTTTCTTCATATATATTAATTAATTTGATTCTCAAAACAACACTGTGGGGTGGCTAAGAAAAGCATTATTATGACTGTTTGACAAAGACGAAAATTGAAGCTTGTGGAGACAGCGTAAGAAGGACTAATATTTTTTGTCTGCCTGTCACTTCTAGTTGGTTTACTTAATAAACTATCATCTCATTTAATCATCACTACACACCTAAAGATAGCTAACATTATAATCTCCATCTTACAGGTAAAAAGGCTCGGGAGGTTTTTATATTATCAGTGTCACATAGAGAATAAGTTGTGGAACTGGCATTCTAAACTAGAATCCAGACTTAGTTCCCAGGGTCTTTCTTCAACGTTGCACTCTCTCCTCTTTTAATGCATGTATGCACCAGATGGTGCACCTTACCTTCTGGCCCCCAACTCTGCTTAGCTGGTACCAATATGCAGCCTCTCCTGACTCCGTGCTGCCACTTTCTCCTGTTTCTTCAGCTCCAACCATTTTCTATCAAGGGAGGAGGTACAGCATGGAAGGTGCAAGGAACTTAAGAGATTTATTTGGGTGGATTTCTTTCCCATTTCTTTAACTGTCCTTTGACCACAGAAGTATTTCCAACTATAAGGAAGTTGACTTTCATGTTTTCAATTGTGATTTTCCCTTTTTGGATACTTACAAAGTTTAATTATTTTGTTTGTTGCTTGTAACATATCTGTTTTCTGCACTAGAATATAAGCTTCATTAGGGAAGTCTTATTCAACATTGTATTTCCAGACGCTGGAATACTGTCTGTCACTTTGAGATGTTCAATAAATATCGGTTGCATGGGGTGGATGAATGAATGAATGAATGGCTTTTTGTCCACAAATATATGTTTCTTTATAGTATATTCAAGTCACGAGTTGAATAGTAGCTATAAGTAACTATTCAGTTTATACATCCTAACATATAACCTATGTCTGTTGGGGGATTTTCTGGGAATTTGGATTTCTATGCAAAGACTTATTCTTATTAGTCTGAATGACACACTAGGTTCTGTTTAAATACTGATGCTAATCTTGGGATTTTCCTCTAGGTTCTTTCACTGGCTTCAGCTGTGATATGCTTTTCTTAAAATTCATGTGTTACAGTACTGCTTTTATTATGCTTTGTGTCGTCGTAAAATCTTTATTTCACATCCTGTTACTGACAACAATAAAGTCTCTACCCAATTGTTCTTTCCAAATTTTGAAATTATTATTTTAGATAGAAGACTGGATTTATCTGGAGTTGATTCCTTTTCTCTAACACCAAATGATTCAATGTTTGGTTTGAAATTAATATTTACAGCTGATTGAAATAAATGTGCTTCAATTAAGTATTATTTCTATTAGTACTTTCCTCTCAATCCCATGCCTTCTTTCTTAATTTAGAAGGGATATTTAGCTGATTTTCATTTCAAGTGTGTATAAGCTGACTTGGCAAGACTGGTTGTTACATGGAGAATGATTTCTTTTTCATAGATAGTATGCATTTATTTAACGTAGGATAATGTTTTAGAACTTTGGGTTGTGAACCATTAGTAATTTGTATAATCTAGTCAGTAAATTGCAGTGAGCATTATTTAAAAAGTGAAATAGAAAAGAATAGAAAAGTCAGAATGCGTTGCACCTAGTGAAGAAGGGAAGTGGTGTTGCATACATACATTTCTTACTGTGGGTCGTGGCCTTAAAAAGTTTAGAGGTTGCTAACCAGAGAAATGGTAAGATATGGAAATCATAAATTATGAATTGAACATTTTATGAGATTACCAGAATTCCATCTCTTTCCCCATTTTTGGTTGTTTTAGATATAATAAATCATCATAGTTCATGAATATATGTGCATATGTATGTATATGAGGTGAGAACAAAGTCAGTTTATTAAATTTTTAAGGAATTTTAGACCAAAGATTTTTCTCCCTTCAGGTGGAGTATAATGACCTACGAACTCAAATTGCCACCAAAGGCTTCTCTACTTCCAGAACCTGCGGAAGCATCTGAAGAATTTTATGTAAGACTTTAACCCTTTACCTGTTTATCATTTGAAAATGGGGGTGAATATCTTGAACAAATAAGAAAACTTACAAGAATCGGTAGCCTATTTACTTAATTTTGTGTCTTATTATTTGGGGTATGGTCTCACTGACTTCTAGTCCTCTTCCAGCGGAAAGAAGCCTTCCAATCTAGGTTAGAGTCCTCCCACCCACACTGGGGAGTGTGAACTTAGCCACATCACTTGCCTTTGTGGGCATGTTACTTCATCCTCAGAGTGAGGCTACAATGTTGTGAGGGATAAATGAGGTAATGGATGAGTGGAAAGCACCAGACATGCAAATTCCCCTTCTCCCACCCCTGATAGTTCTTGAATATTCCACCCGCCTGCTTCCTTTTACCAACAGGGCTCCAGGGAAGGCCAGCTGATGACAGTTTCCTGTTAGCTTTTACTCATCTTCTGCTTCATCCATGAGCACCTGTTAGGGGTTAGACCCACTCCCTTAAACAATCTCCAAACACACCAGTACTCATGGCCAGAATATTATATACTTTCTCTCTTCTTGCTCTGTTGAGGATGCATCACAACAGATCTGCGGGTTAAGCTGCTGATCAAGATAAAACTAAGGAAGAAAGACAGCTCACTTCATTCCATCGCTGCTTCAGACCGTTAATAACTACAGTTTTTAGACGTTTTTAAAGATTCAGTATTCTGATTAAACCTCAAAGCACTGGAGATTTAAAACAGAGCCTAATTTTCAAAGGATTATTCTGACTCCTTAAGCCCATTTGATCCATGACAGCTTATTTTTCCCTCTAGGAAAATTCATTTGTTTATTTTACAATTGAAGTTTTTGTTTTGTCATTAAGAAAACTATGATGTCAAAACTAAAGAAAGGAATAATAACTAGAAACATGGGGCCGTTCCTTAAAGAAGCTAATTGTATCTTCAAAAGCTTTTCCTGATATAAAAGTAGCAAAAATATTTGGAAAATACAAAAATATATGAAAAAGAAAATAAAAACCCCATTTATAGTAACTTACCTTCATGGGCCTATGAAAAATTAATATATTTGCTACTTTATTTCCAGCAGCATTTTTATTTATGATATTTTATTCACTATAAACAAAATACTTGTTTTACAGAAACCAATCTTTTTTCTTAGTAGTATTTTTGTAAATGTTATTAATTCTCTTTCCAAGAAGACAAAAGGGGGAATTCTTTTGCTCTATTTACTTCAGAGATGTCCGTTTCCTAGCATATACATTAAAGATAGACAATTTACTTTTATCACATTTATAGTCACTAAATATGAGGTACAATTGTAACTACATGAAAGGAACTTATTTTTTTTAGCACAAAAGGTTTTTGAATGAAACTTCATTTATTTTGATTTCTTATTAAAACTTATTTTCTTAACAAAGGGATAGCGTGCCTTAAGATTACAGGTTAAATGGATGATGCATCATTCTGATCAGTCACCATGTGTGACTTGTTTGCCTTGAAAACTACAGTAAAAGTATGCTACAACTTCCTTCTTAGGCTCAACCTAATTTTCCAGCTTATATTTTTTTAAGTAAAGTATTCATTTTGGATTCCCTTATGCACGATTGTGAAATTATTATTATTGTTTTTTCAGTTTTCCTTAAAAGGACACAAAATGTGATTGATCTTTCTAATTATTAACTATTAGCATTCTGCTGTCATTGTAGAATTATAGAGCTTAAGGAATTGTGACAGTTTCTTGATCAATTCCCTATATCTGTAATTAAGTAATTCTGTTTGCTCATATATATTTTTTTGCTGTGAAAATAGTGATTCCATGATTTCCTCCAGTGACAATGATTCTATTGTTTAATAGTCAATATTAGAAAATTTCTTGTTTACAATTAGTATAAAATCCCCATGCCATTATATTCTCCTCTCCTCTAGGCCTTTGTGAATGAATGTGTATCCCTCCGTTGGCATCATGCTTGGGTCACTCCCGTTCCTACCTCAGGTCTCAGCTTGGGTATCACTTGCTCCAGGCAGCCATCTCATCTCCCAAGTCCTAGTACGGTGTCCTTCCGTAGTAGTTCCATAGCTCTCTTTACCTTCCATTATCTTGGTACTATCATACTGTAAAGATCAGGCAGTGTGTATTATTCATTCACCATTATGTTGTCCTCTGGCACTATGGCACAAGGCAGACAGTTAATAAAAAATTCTTATTGTTAATTTTTGATCTAAATACCAAACTCTTTGTAACAGTGGGCATCTTAGCATCAAAGCCCTCTTGCCTTGTCTGTTGCTTGGAAGCCAGATTCCTCCTGCTTTTCAGTTGAATTATAAGCTTTTTGATGCAAGGGTCATATTTCTCTTCTGTATCATACCCCAATCATACTAATCTAGTAAATCAACAGATGCTTCTTTATTAATGCTAAGATAATCAGAGAGGATGTGAGCTGCTGCACCCCAATCAACTCCCTGAAAACACAGAAGAGAATGGCCTCAAATCTCCAGAAACAAAATTTTTCCTACTAGTGTATTTTTAAATTTACTCTTATAGAATAATAAAATCTCTCTCCTTTCAATTCCGTCTGTTTTCTAGTTGCTTGGTAATAGCACGCTAAGAAGTTGAAGCTTTATTCTTTCATTCATTTAACAATATTAAGTGCTTATCAGTACCTGGGACTGAAAATAGAAGACTTACCCTCTAGATTTAGGCCGCTTAGAGTAGTGGTTTCCAAGCTCTGTGCCACGGCGCCTCAGGGCACCAGTGAGCTCAGAGGGCTACCATGGGATATTTTTAAATTTCAAAGAAAACATGGTAATACCCAACATCTATTGAACACCGCACAAACTACTAGCTTCAGATAGTTTGCAGTTTAAACATTAGGTTGCACTACCTTCCTTTTAATGACATCCTATCTTTGTGAAGCTGGGTTTTCAGCAGCTGCTGTGATAAAAAGCAAACACCATGCAAAAATCAGTGTGGCATAGGAAATGAGGGTGTCATTGTCCAATCTGACTCCCAGTTTTGAGATGTATACGGTGCCCACAGGCTCACAACTGGTTATTTAAGAATGAAATAAGATATTTTTTCTTTTAATTTATATTATTTCTTCAAATGGTTATTAAGTTGTTAGGACATAAATACTTATTAAGTTGTTTGGACTTAACTACTGTTAGGTATTTCTTTTGGCCTAGGGGCACTGTGATGAAACTATTAAGACAGTAAGGATGCCATGAGCCCAGAAAGTTTGGGAATCTCTGGCCTAGTGGGAAGGACAGATAAGGAAATGAGCAGCAATGTTAAAGGTATTTACAGGGTGTAGTTGTTGCACAGAAGAGAGAATTCTCAGCCTGGCAAGTTCAGTGAAGTCTTCACAGAGGATGTTGTTCCCAAACTGGATTTTCAGCACAAGAAAGAGAAGTAGGAATTAGCCAGTTGAAAAAGAGCATTACATAGAGCTTGATAATAAGGACCTTGGTACATTTGGGGTACTACAGGTAATTCCGTAGAGTTAGAGCATGTCGTGCAAGGGAAGAGCCTCAAAAGACATGACAGAGGGGAGGAAAGGAGGGCTCGGATCATGAAGAGTCTTGGAATTATGGAAAGTCTTGTGTGTTAGCTGAAGAGTTTTGACATTTTCTGGAAAGTAGGAGGGATCTACTCAGTCATGTTGAGCAGGGATGTGGCACGATCAGATTAGTGTTTTAGGAAAAAATCAGTTTGTGAAGTGGAGAATCATTTGAAATGGGGCAGGAGAGACATAGGAAGCCCAACTAGGGGGCTGTTACGGTGATACACTTGAGAAATGACAAAATTTATATTTGACAAATACAGCTAAGGAAAAACCAAGACTTGCTTGAGGGAGGCAGTGTGGCGGGAAAGCCCCAGAGTCCTCAGACCTGGCCCTCTAACTTGTCCGCTCCTTGTTAGCTGTGGGTCTTAGACAAATCACTCAACTCACCTGAGCCCCTGGTTCTTTGGCTGTAAAACAGGATAATTAATGGGTTAAATATATCCATAGTACTTAATCACAGTGTCTGGTACACAATAAAAAATGTTAACTATTATAATTACCTTACCTTCCTGACTCTGCTAAGTGACTACATGATAAGTTAATAAATGACATCAATAATTTTATCCTTGGGCATAGAGGTTATTTCATTTTCCTCTGGAAGAGGTTGTATTCTTTGCCTTTGGTTATTTTTAATGGACAAAAACTTGGATTTTGAAGTGTAAATTCAAATGGAATTAAAGATAGTTTAAAATATTTTCCTCTATTTTCTTAGGCTTTATGACAGTTTACCCTGTAGGGAAAAGAAATAAAGCGAATCTTTTTGAAAAATATTTCCTTTCTTCACTTTTTTAAAAGATGTATTTTCATTTTTCTGATCTTAACTGTAAAGATGCAGTTTTTAATGTTTAGACCAGGACATCAATAAAGTGGACTTTGTGAGTCAATACAATATTGTGTGAAACTTCGAGGTTCCTCCCCACCTCTCCTTTCTTTCATGTAAAATTTCTTTTCCATATGTGGTCTGCCTTTGAAGGAAGGAAGATAGAATTTTAGAGGAGTAACATACTGATTAGCCAACGGTGGAACTGGATGTAAATCAGGAATGAGATCCCTTTGGGAGGAGGCTAGTCAGGAAGTCTTTACTGGGGGGTGGGGAGGGAGTGTAACTGAATCCTCATTTAAGTCTGGATAAACCAGTGCTGATTGGTAAAAAGCAATGAAAGGATATCTGAGCCAGGCAGAAGAACATAGGAGGCCAGCTTGAATAGAGCAGATGGTTTTGTGTGACATGGAATATATTTGAGGCAAACATTTGCTGGAAAGCTTTGACTGTGAGGCTGTTTAAATATTGTGCACATTTTTACATATTAGGAAGATGTGTTCTTTCAACAGAATGTTAAATTTTGAGTCAAATAGAAAAAGGGATATAGGACTCCTTTAGCATTTTATTTCATTATTTGAGAGAAATATTTATTTACCTGATTGTATGATGTGCATTTAGCATTTAAAAAACTTCTTTTTAAACTACACATACAGAAATTGTACATGTTAGAAATGTACAGCTTGGTAAGTTTCTGCAAACTAAATGAACCCACGTAATCAACACCCAGGTCACAAGGCAGCATTCCTAGTACCCCACAAGCCCTCCTCAGGCCCCATTTCATTCATCATCTCCCACCTCCCACCCTAATAATCACTATCCTGATTTCTAACAGCATAGATTAGTTCTGTCGGTTTTTGTACTTTATAAAATAGAATCATTTTGTATGTACTCTTTTTGTTTCTGAATTCTTTCACTCAACATTATATTTGTGAGATTCATCTATATTGTGGCATAGTTGTAAAGCATGCATTCTCATTGCCCTATAGTATTCCATTGCACAAATATACTAAAATTGTTATCTATCCTACTATTGAATGAATGTTGCTGTGAATCCTAGTACATGTCTTTTGGTGAATGCACATCTACATTTCTTCTGGGCATATATGTGAAAGTTGAATTGCTGCGTCCTATGGTAGGTGTTAGGCTTATGTTCTGCTTTAATAGATACTACCCAACAGTTTTCTAGGGTGTTTATGTCAACTTGCTCTCCCATCAAGCAGTGTGTGAGAGTTCTGTTGTTCCACAACTTTGCCAATACTTGGCATTTTCCAGTTATTATTGTTGCTTTCATTTTAACTATTCTGTCAGGTATGTAGTGGTGTTGCATTGTGGGTTTAGTTTGCATTTGCCTAATGAGGTGGAATACCTTTTCATCTGCTTATGAGCCATTTGATATCTTCCTCTTTTAAACTTCTAGTCGTTTGCCCATTTTTTTATTAGGTCATTTGACTTTTTTTGTACTGACTTGTAGGAGTTTTTTATATATTCAGCTATATGACATTTAAAAATTCTTCTAAAATTTTCTTTATGGCTTGTTCTAAAAATATAAATTAAAGAATTCCAGAAACTAAAAGTTTTGCACAGGGCCGGCCCTGTGGCTTAGCGGTTAAGTGCGCGTGCTCCACTGCTGGCGGCCTGGGTTCGGATCCCGGGCACGCACCGAGGCACCGCTTCTCCGGCCATGCTGAGGCAGCGTCCCACATACAGCAACTAGAAGGATGTGCAACTATGACATACAACTATCTACTGGGGCTTTGGGGGAAAAAAATAAATAAAATTAAAAAAATAAATAAATAAAAAAATAAAATAAAAGTTTTGCACAGAAAGGAAATATTTATCTATTTTGTATAATGACTCTTTTATATATTTCATGATAGCCATTGCCCTGTGTCACATGTGTCATGAATGGTCTCGTTTTTGCAGCAGTAATAACTGAGTTGTATAAATGCCAGCAACAATAATACAGTGTAGGTTTTTTCTTTTTTCAGATGACAATTTATGAAGACTCAGTTGCAACTCATCTTACTAAAATCCTCAATTCTGATGAACATGCAGTGGTCATATCATCTGCCAAGTGAGTTATGGAGTTGAAGTCACAAAATAGTTATATGGTGAAAATGAAAGGAAATCTGGTTCCTACCATTTATGTCATTTCTTTGTGACTTTTTCCCCAAAAATATTTGTGAAGTAGCTTACAGAATTAGATATACTAAATTTCTATTGATTTTTTAAAAATCACTGTAGCATCTTATTTGCAGTGGAGTATATTTAAAGGGCATTTTTTTTTATTGATGTTTTAATAGTTTTAACATTGTGAAATTTTGGGTTGTACATTTTTGTTTGTCCATCACCATATATATGATTCCCTTCACCCCTTGTGCCCACCCCGCACCCCCATTGCCCCTGGTAACCACAATACAGTTTTCTCTGTCCATGTGTTGGTTTATATTCCACATATGAGTGAGATCATACAGTGTTTGTCTTTCTCCTTCTGGCTAACTTCACTCAACATAATACCCTCCAGGCCCATCCATGTTGTTGCAAATGGGATGATTTTGTCTTTTTTTATGGCTGAGTAGTATTGCATTGTATATATATACCACATTTTCTTGATCAGTCGAGGGACACTTAGGTTGCTTCCACTTCTTGGCTATGGTGAATGATGCTGCAGTGAACATAGGGGTGCATAAGCCTCTTTGGATTGTTGATTTCAAGTTCGTTGGATAGATTCCCAGTAGTGGGATGGCTGGATCATAGGGCATCTCTATTTTTAATTCTTTGAGGAATCTCCATACCATTTTCCATAGATGCTGCACCAGTTTGCATTCCCACCAGCTGTGTATGAGGGTTCCTGTTTCTCCACATCCTCTCCAACATTTGTTGTTTTTTGTCTTGGTGATTATAGCCATTCTAACGGGCGTGAGGTGATATCTTAGTGTTGTTTTGATTTGCATTTCTAAAGGGCATTTTTTGATGCTTAATTCGTAATATTTTTGTCAAAAAGATGCAATAAGTGTTTTTAATAAGAAGTTAATCTAAGTTCCTATATAAAGAAGTATTTATGATTAATTATAATATGGAAAATATATTTCATTATAATTCACTGTTTCCATAAACACTACTGTTTAGGAACTGTTTACATTGAGAAAGGGAAAGTAATAATGAGGTTTTTCAAAATGACATTTCTCATTTTATGTTTAAATTGCATAATTATATTTTAATTCAAAGTTATCAGATTTTAGTTAAGTTGATTCTGTGCATGGAGCCAAAGCTACTTGATTTTATCATCCCAAATGTTGCCTGGCTGGAATTTAGAATGCAGTTTTGAAGCATCCTATACTGATGTCGTGAGAACTGGAATGTGAGGTAGAGGAAGGAGTGAAACCAACTGAAATTTTCAACTGATAAGCAAAAGTAAAAGAATGCTTTAGGATTCTGGCTTAGCAAGGAAATATTACTATTATGTGAAAAGAGAGGAAAAAAAGAAGGGGAAGAAGGAAAGAAAGGGAGGGAATGGGGAAGAGACGGAGGAAAAATGCATAAAGTATTACATACTTAATTTGCAAGGAAGTCAAGGAAAGACAGGATTAATCATTACAAACAGATTTCCTTATGACAAAAGTACAAATGTAGTGACAATTGCTTTTGATGCCATAACCCCTAGGCATAGGAAACAAGACTGAGCAATAGGAAAAGAGTTGAACATCTTAAGGTAAGGGTAGTATACTGGTTACCCAGGCAGAAGTGGGCTACAGACACTCTTTGATGGACAGTGATGTACAAAATGTACAAATTTCCACTTTGTCCCAGGCCTCAGCATTCCCTATTATCTTTCTCATCTCAGGCCAAATTCATATACCAAAGTTACTTCATTAGGTACTTCCTAAGTTACTTCTACAAGGAAGACATTTGCTTTTGCTGACCCTGCCCTATGAATCAAATGCTTCTTTATGGGACATTTTAGAGGACATTGCTAGAAAAGATGGAAAGTTGAAATGGAACCTTTTTTAAGGTATAACAAGTTATAAAAGAATTATTCTTTAATAAAGTTAAGTAAATATTTTATCTGGCTACCTTTCATGGTTTAGATGTTAGCAAAGCCTTAATCTTGGCCTTTGTATGTTTGATGTGTTTCATTACTGCCTCCTATACATTTTGTATATGTATATTTTTTATTTTTTAATTGAGATATAATTGACTTATAACATTGTCTTTTTCCAAATAAAATCTTATACAAAATCCCAATATTAAAAAAATTAAAATTCTATTTTGTTGGCATTAATAAATTGGATAGGATTAAATTATTAGTCACTTATGAGAAAAATTAAGCAGTAAGGTTATAGATGACAGTGATCGTGTTAAAATAGCATACCGTTTTTATTTAATTGAAGACTGTGTACTTACAACCGTGTAATCAAAATAAAATGCAGAAATAACTGGAAACTACATCGAATATAGTCCAAGATTTAGACAAAAAATAGTGAATTCTAAAGTAAAAGCTAACCTTATTTGTCTCAAATATCTCTAATGGTTATTTGAGCATTTAACAAATTATATCCTATATTTCTAAATGAAATTTCAATCAGCATTTGTGGAATTCTTGAAGTATTTCTGCAGAACAGCTTGGAAACCACTGGAGTAAGTCACAGTGTTGCACTAAGCAGGAGTAAATCTGGGTCCTAGCTGAGACAGCCATTCGCTGCCTTTGTGACCTACGTCTGTTTTATCAAGTGTAAGAATGGAAAGAATGCCTGTCTTTGCTCCCTCATGGAACTGTTAGGAGAACTAAGTTGAGCAATAAAATAAATATAAACCTTATAAACTACAGAGTGCTATATTAAATCATGGTATCACCACCTCATGTTTCCCCAATTACATTTCAGATGTTTTCTTTGACCTTGGCCTGCCTCCTTGTCTAGGCTCTGCTCTTAGCCTGAGCTGTGGATTTCTCCCCACTAGCTCAGTTGCCTTTAAGCAGATTCCATTCCAACCCTGGTCCCCTCTTGTCCCTCATCTGTGCTCCCAGCCCTGCCCAGCTGCCCTGCCTTTACAACCCCAGATTGAAATTCTGGGGGATTTTCCATAAAGAGGTTGAAGAGGAAAAAGAGAGGAGAACATGTAATAACTTTGTACTAGTAATACAATGTATTTTTAAGTTAATTTGAGCTTAGTCTAAATGTTAGTTCTTCAGAGAAGTTATTTCTACTTTATCTAAAATATACTTCTTGCCTTGCTTATCTCTGGCTCCCTGCTTATTTCTCTAACAGGACTTTACCTTGCTATGAGCTTATGTATTTATTTGTTCACTGTCTGCTGCCCTAGAATGTAACCTCCATGAGACAGAGATGCTGTCTGCCTCAGGTAGTAGGCAATAATAAATATTTATTGAATGAATGGATGAATTAATATTGGATTTCTTCTTTGTTTATTTTTCTCATCATCCAACTCTATCATCCAAATCTTTGTCAGTGGACGTTGGGAATTCCTTCCAGGTTAATCTGAAGTAAATTTAGAAATTTTTACTCATACCCGGAATAACCTTTGATCTGACTCTTTTTTTTTTATTATTGAAGTATAATTAACATACAATATCCTGTTAGTTTCATGTGTATCATCATAGTGATTCAATATTTGTATACATAGTCATTTCTCAAAGGGAGATATACAAATGACCAATTAGAACATGAAGAGATGCTCAACATTTTTAGTCATCAGAGAAATGCAAATCAAAACCACACTTAGACAGCACTTCACCTCCACTACGAAGGCCAGAATCAAAAACCAGATCACAACAAATGATGATGATATGGAGAACTCTCATACACTGCTGGTGGGAATGTAAAATGCTGCAGCTGCTTCAGAAAACAGTGAAGCAGTTCCTCAAACTATTAAACACAGAATTACCACAGAACTCAGCAGTTCCACTCCTAGGTATAAAATTACTTTAAATTATGTGAAGCAAGCTTATTCATATATCCATTTATCACTTAGAATGTCTTGAACTTATCTAGCACGTGGTACACAGCAGATAAAACTATGGGTTTATATAACAAATGATCTCAATATATTGACTATTTGCCTAATTGTGCTTATTTTTAATATGTTTCTAAATCAAAGCAAATCAGCCTGAGTTTACTGGATTGCACCATTTCTTTTCCTCAAAGGATACTATGTGAAACTGTAAAGGACTTCGTTGCCAAAGTAGAGAAGGCACATGAAAAAACGTTGGAAAATGCTGTGGTAGCCGATGCCGTGGCCAATAAAGTAAGGACACAATCAGGGCATGAAAGTTTGTTACTGACAGTGTTAACATTGAACTGTGTTTTACAGCTAAACTGATTAAGTGGTTTTCCTGACAAAACATTGTAAATCGAGAGGAAAAATTACTTTGAATCAGAGATGAGGGTTTTAAAACATTCTATTTTATGGTTACCTTTAAGATATAGGAAAACTGCGTGGCTGAAGACTGACCAGCAAACTGAATTTTATAAAAATAACTCAACTCCCCTTTCCCACTGATTGACATCTCAAAGAGAAATGCACAATAGTCGGGTCAAAGGGGGAGAATGCTGGGTAGCTGGTGTTCCAGTGGGGAGAGGAATGGCTTTCCATTTTCAGGCAAACTTTGGCCAGTCTAGTTCCCTCCCAGCATGGTTCCTCAGATTCCCTAGACATTACGGCCCTCTCTCCCTTTCAGGGTTCTGTTTCTTGCATTGCCCTTTTCTTCATAGATTTTTTTTTCCTACATGAGCTTTCTGAGGCTAAAATAAGAACAGTTTACTGATCCTTAAAAGCTACTGTCTTTGCTTTCATATACTCAGGACAGGGCATTCTTACAAAAGGCTGGGCTATCTTGGGCTTGCAAAGGAATGATCTCCTCCAGATTCACGCTGTAGATGGTGGTTTAATTGAGTGGAAGGAGAGAAAATAGAACTAAGCAAACGTTTGAAGTTTTCAGTTCTTTCTCTTGTTTTTCTACTCTGTGGAGAGCTTCAGAAAGCAGAAACCCGCTCTAACTATTTCTGCTGTAACTTTGTCTTGGCATGTCATCAAAGAGAAATACATGCAGGAGGAAAGGGCTGGAAATTGTGTGGAGATAAAAGGTACATTAGGCAGTAGCATCAACAGCTTCAGTCCTTAGTGTTCCTTTACCCTTGGTAATTGGAGAAAAGCAGAAAGACACAGTGCCGAGTGCTTGCTTTTGTTTCTGTACCTTTCTTCCTTTTTTTCTTTATCCTTGTGCGTTTTCCTTTTTGCTCTTTCTTTGAGCCAATAATCCCTTAGACACTGTTCAGTCCTTTACAAACCAAGGCTTTGAAGGCAAGCTACCAAGAATGCAGTTTATGATGCTCAAAATGGTGCCATGAGTTGATTACTTAAAAAAAAAAAATTTATGCAATGTTTTGTATAATGTATAGCAAATTTTATATAATGTATAAATTTCTTGTGTAATGTATCACTTTACAGTAAAATGTTTGTTGTTTTCTTTTAAGGAAAAATAGCTATATAAAGATTGTAAAGATTTTTACCCGTGAAATGGAGTCTGAATGGTTCTAGAAGTGTAAATCAATAAATTTACATAATAATTGTGCTATTTTTTAAAATTATAAATTGTTTAGTTCATAAGCTGTCTAAAGTATAATTTATAATAGCCATTTAATGGTAAACATCAATATAGGTATCTTTCCTCTAAAATCAGAAACTATTAATTTAAATTATCATTTTCCATCTCCACTAAATGGAGATTCATCACTGTATTTTTGTTTTCTTAGTGTTCAGTCCTAAATGAGAAACTTGAACAGCTGCTCCAGGCTTTGCACACAGATTCGCAGGCTGCTCCCGTTCTCCCAGGCGTCAGCCCTCTCATCGTAGAAGAAGATACTGTGGAATCTTCCAGTGAAGAATCCTTGTGTGAAAGCAAGGAACAACTTTTGGATGACACTACAAAACCTTCCTCACGAAAAGTTGTCAAACCAAAGGAAATAATGTTGCGGGCGAACAGTTTAAAGAAAGCAGTGAGGCAAGTCATTGAAGAAGCCGGAAAAGGTACACATTAACAAAATTAGCTTTTGAAGAAGTGAACAGTGCTCCTGTTGCAAGCACAATGGAATTTTTGTATTGGTCAGGCTGGACACACTTAAAAAATTTTTTTAAGATAAGATAGAAGATAAAGCCATTAGAATGAAGTTTGTACTTAGTACTATTTATTGTTTTAGTAGTAAGGATCAGCATATTAATGATACATAAAATAAAATCTCAGAGATAAAGTACACTGAAAACATTGAAATAAAATTGGAAAATAAGTAATATTTCTAAAATTCTAAATATTTTTTACTTAATTGGAATCTGTTGAATTCTTACAGAAAATCAAACCTGTAAACTACTTGGAAAATATTTCCTTAACATTTATTTCCTAAATGTTTATGTTGCTTTTTTAAGAGTTTATAAAAGTTCCACTTATATTTTTATTTTTGTATTAGTATAATAAATATACTTCTCTTAGAATTTTAGTAGTAGACTAAAAGTTAACTTTAATATAAATAACAATCAAAAACCCTTTACAGGTCGTAACTTGTAATTAGACTTGTATATTATTCTCTAAAATTCTCATATTTTATTATTTTCTTCTGATAAAAACATAATTTTGTGTGTGTGTGTGAGGAAGGTTAGCCCTGCCAATCCCCTCTTTTTGCTGAGGAAGATTGGCCCTGGGCTAACATTCGTGCCTGTCTTCCTCTACTTTATATGGGACGCCGCCACAGCATGGCTCTACAAGCAGTGCATTGGTCCACGCCTGGGATCCAAATCTGCGAACCCAGGGCCGCCAAAGCGGAGCATGCGAATTTAACCGCTACGCCACTGTGCCTGCCCCAAAAACATAATTTTGACAATTGTAAATATTTAGTTTTATAATCTCTAGTTCTTACAGACATCACCGCCATGTTTGTTGCCAATTAGTGTTTATTTGTGAATATGGAATTTCTTTTGGATTGTGTTTCAATTTTCCTTTCCTAAGCATTTATTAATATTTATGGATTTTATTTTTACTTGTCCAAACATGTTTCTCTTCTTACTACTTAAAGTTATGGATGACCAGACAGTTCACCCCTGTGAACCAGTTAATCAGTCATTTGATTACGATAGTACAGAAACGGATGAATCTAAAGAAGAATCTAAAGATGATGGTGCAAAAGAGTCATTAACTGGTAAGAAAAGTATGATAAAATTATTTTGGAATTAAATAAAATGTAATTCTGTTTTAGTTTTCGAAAGGCTTATCAGTTTGAAATAAACTATTTGTATTTTTAAGAAGGCTTTTCAGAAGTTAAGGCTTAGATATTCATGAATACTAAAATAATAAAGGTAACATTATTTAGACTATTGTCAGTCTCACATTCCTTTTTTATCATATATTCTGGAGATCATCATCATAAACTTAGGATTATGGGACCAAACCTGGCTACATATCTTAATTTTCCTGAAGAAAGAGGGAAGAAGCACCTAAATTAGCAGATTTTAACCTGTTTTAGCCCACAGATTCCTTTGAGGACTATATGAGAGCTGCAGGCCCCACATGCATAAAATTTGGCATTAATTTAGCAGTCCATTGAGTTCTATTGATCAGCCTAGACGGTTGATAATTCTTATCTCTAAATTAAGCTTTAAAATCATAGGACATCTAGTTACAACTCTATCTCCTCTGAAATTATTTTTGCCAGGAAATTAGTATGTAGTTGCTTGAAGAATATTAACTATTTCTCTACCTTTCAGGTTTTAATTGAGCATGAATTTATACTTTTAATATTTCATATTGTATAAGGGAAAATTATTAATTTACTAGAATAAATCAAAGCAGATATTAAAATATTAATGAAGATGAGAAGATAATATGAAAATAATTACATAGTACTAATGAAAAGTCAATACTGTTATATTAGAACTGTTTGCAATCACTAAATTTTTGCTTTTACTTTCATTACATATAAACTTGGGCAGAGTACTTAAGTTCTCTGTGGTTTCCTCATTTGTAAAATGGGCATAATAATGTACCTACTTGTTGTGAAGGTTAAATAAGTTAGTATACGTAAAGTGCCTAGAACAGTGTCTGGTACCTAGTGCTGTAAAGGAGTGTTTGCTGTTATTATTATGATCATTATTATTGCTCCTACCACTGCTGCTGCTGCTGCTACTAATTACATTAACTTTGAAAGAATAGTCCTTAATTATATTTAAAACTCTTAGAAACTTTGAAATTAGACCGTATGGACCTCACATGTCTGGCATATAACCAATGCATGCGTATTCTACAACCTTAGCCCTTTTAGACTTTATATGTACCTGTTCCAGTACACAGCCCAGTTCTATAACCCTATACCTTTTAGACCTTAAATGTCCCTGTTGCAACATATAATCCAATGCAGGCATATTTTATAACCCTCTTGACAGGTGGACATTGCGCCTTTGGACCATTCACTTTCAATACATCACACTGTTATGGTCAGCTCATTTCTAACAATTAGGTTAGAAAATTTTTCTTTTTATTGAGCTTTATATTTTCTTACTTAAATTTATTCGTATGATTACAGTTATTATTAATAAAGTTTTATATATGATAATGTTGACAGAAAAAACTACTAGCATATGTGTAGTGCTTTATGGTTAGTTTAAAAGCAATTTCACACACATTATTTCACAGTATTAAAGATGATTCTGCCTTGTGGCAACTCTTAAATGATACTGAAAACAGCTCTCATGGCATCTATCCTCTTCCCGTACTTTATATCTTCTTTTCCATGTTATCTCTCCTAAATTCCTCTACCAATGTTTAACTTGATGATTTCAAACTTTTTGTTTTCTGGTTGCACCCATTTGGTCAATATGATGCCCCGTTTTGAACAAAATTCTCCAGATATTTCTGTAGTGTAATAGCACACTGATACACATACACTACTCATTCTGCACATTTCTGATGTGATAAAGACTACCTGAGATTTCTTTTTTGGCTTGAAATATTATATAGTAGTACTGGTCTCCTCCTCCTGTTTTTCTGCAAGTGATTTTTTTAACCTAATTATAGTAGTTTACAATCATCCCTTTGAACTTTTATCTTTTTGATTTGGACCTGTCATTTCATCTTGTCAAAATCTTTTGAAGCTCGATTCTGTCATCTCAAGTTTACTTCATCTGGAATTTGATCAGCAGACCTTGTGTGTTTTCATCCATTAAAAAATGTTGACTCAAGCAGGGCTGACAATGGTGTCCTTACAGCATGTTGCTTGATAATTCCCCCGAAGATAATGAGGGGCTTTCTTTGGAGGACTGGTTTTTCAGCACTCGTTGCTAATGGTTTTCCAACCAGCTACCTTCTCACCTTACTATACTCTCATGAACTTGACACTTCCGTTGTGGTCTGCAAAGGAAACTAAAAGGTACAGATATAGGGCTATAAATATTGATATTGAAATGGACATAAATTATACAAGTCTTTAATGGTGCAGTATTTGATCTTATTTTTTGGCTAGTAATCCAATTTAGTGGGAATCAGTAGCCATAGAAGTGTTTCTGCATTATATAATCATTATTTTTTGAAGTACACTCATTGTATTATCATTAAATTATGGAATAATTCATATGTCTGAGATGTACAAATACAGTATGTTAATATGATCCATGAGATGTTATGTTTAAAAAGAACCATTAAAGATTAATTTGGTTACCTGCCATAGAACATCAGTCTTAGTCACTAGGACGCTCTCTGCTTTTTATCAGAGATGAATATCAAAAGGTTGTTTTTATTAGAAATTAGCCCCAGGGCTCTCATCTGTCAGAAAAAAGAATGGCTGTTCTGCTACTTTTCTTTTAGTGCAACTGGACTGTTTTTGAACAAAAAGAAGACAGTGTAAGATTAATATAGTTAGTTTGTAATTAGTCTTAAGGAGAGTAAAAATAATTAAGTTTTATAGTATTTTTAAATTGAGTTTGAGGATTACTGTTTTTTTAAACACCTGCCAATAGCTTCTAAATTAGTTAAAGGTACTATTTGCTTTCCATTAAATTGTCCCAGTTTAGGTACAATTAAATCTCCCTTTTTGTTGTTTATTTTGAGAGTAATTCTGTTTTTTAATAATTTTTAAAATGTATTGAGCTTTTACAAGAATATAATAGAACTGTTTTGGGCAAATCATTGTTTTGAATACATAATTGAGAAGTGCAGGAAAAGGATGCTGGTTTCGTTTTTTTTAAAAATACTATTTTTCCTTCCATTTATAGAAGAAAATGTTAACTCATGTTTTACATATTTGCTCTGGGAATTATATTAATTAAATTTGACCCTTCACCCAACATTTATGAGAAAAGGATTGCGTTAGTAGTATATATTAAAACACATATGTTCCATTTTCAAAAATCATCAGGCTTCAAAATTTCTTTTTATCTTTAAATATGGGTTGATCACATTCAACTTATGAGTATTACTGACCTTTAATTTATGGTAGATATCTATTTCCTACTGATCTCCATCAGTTTGAATTAAGAGATCAAGACATGTACCTCTTGGTCTGTGGCAGAGTCCTTCCATGTAGTAAATCTAATACTATAATTCTAATTCTAAAAAATAAAAACAAAATGGTAAGAGAACAGGTAAACACAATGTAATATTTTTAGTTCCATTGATTGATTTAAACATGTATTAAGTTATATCTTGAATTTATAGAGGCTTGTTTATGTTGATAACTTTATCATTACCTCTTTTTAATCTGGACTTTTTACCAACAGTTAAAACCACACCTCAGTCTCCAGATGGCCGGGCAAGTCGTTCCCAAACTGACTCTGGCCCTGGTCCAGCTGTGGCAGCCAGCAAAGAAAACCTCCCTGTGCTCAATACCAGAATAATCTGCCCAGGTAGTACAGATTCTGAAACATGGTGTATTTTTAAGTATTTCTGTGGAAATGTATAAGTACTCATAAAACAAGTAGACCTAACAGACATCTACAGAACACTCCACCTAACAACAACAGAATACACATTCTTCTCAAGTGCATATAGAACATTCTCCAGCATAGACTACATATTAGGCCATAAAACAATTCTCAATAAATTTAAAAGGATTGAAATCATACAGAGTATGATCTCCAACCACAATGGAATAAAATTATAAATCTATAACAGAAAGAAATTTGGAAAATGCACAAATATGTGGAAATATGTGGGTCAAAGAAAAAAATCACAAGAGAAGTTAAAAAATACTTTGATATGAATAAAAACAAAAATACACCACGCCAAGGGGCCGGCCCGGTTGCGCAAGCAGTTAGGTGTGTGCGCTCCACTGCGGCAGCCCGAGGTTCGCTGGTTCAGATCCCGGGCGCACACCAACACACCGCTTGTCGAGCCATGCTGTGGCAGCGTCCCATATAAAGTGGAGGAAGATGGGCATGGATGTTAGCCCAGGGCCAGTCTTCCTCAGCAAAAAAAAAAAAAAAATAAAAAAAAAAAATACACCACGCCAAAACTTATTTGATGCAGCTCAAGCAGTGTTTAGAGTGAACTTTATAGCTATAAATGCCTATGGTAAAAAAGTAGAAAGATCTCTAAAACCTAACTCTCCATCTAATAAACTGAAAGAAGAGCCAGCTAAATCCAAAGCAAGCAGTAGGAAGGAAACAATAAAGACTGGAGTGGAAATAAATGAAACAGAAAATAGAAAACAATATAGAAAGTCAACGAAATCAAAAGTTGGTTCTGTGAACAGTTTAACAAAATTGGCAAACTTTTAGCTAGACTGACCAAGGAAATAAGATTCAAATTACTGAAATCAATAAAGAGGAGACATCACTATGGACTTTACAGAAATAGAAAGGATTGTATGGGAAAACTATAAAATATTGCATGTCAACAAATTAGATAACCTAGATGAAATGGACAAACTCCTAGAAACATGCAAAGTACCAAAACTGATGCAAGAATAAATAGAAACTCCAACTAGACCTATAACAAGTAAAGAGATTGAGTTAGCAATCAAAAAACTTCCTACAAAGGAAAGCCCAGGCCCAAATTGCTTCACTGGTGAATTCTACCAAATATTTAAAGAGTTAACACCAATTTTTCACAAACTTTTCTAAAAACTACATGAGGAAGCAAGACTTTCCAACTCATTCTGTGAGGTCAGTATTACCCTGATACCAAAACTAGTCAAAGACATCTCAAGAAAACTACAGACCTATATCCTTTATGAATATCAACACAAAAATCCTCAAAAAGATACCAGCTAACTGAATCCAACAACATATAAAAAGACTTATACGCTGTGACCAAGTGAGTATTATCTCAGTAATGCAAGGTTGATTCAACATATGAAAATCAATCAATGTAATGTACATATTAATAGAATAAAGGACAAAAACAGAGTCATCTCAATAGATACAGAAAAAGCATTTAAAAAGTTCAACATCCTTTGGTGGTAAAAACACTCAACAAACTAGGAATTTCTTCAAAAAGAAAGGAACTTCTTCAACTTGATTAAAGGCATCTATGAAAAACCTACAGCTGACATCATATTTAATGGTGAAAGGCTGAAAGCTTTCTCCCTAAGATTAGGAACAAGACAAATATGTTCACTCTGGCCACTTCTATTCAGTATTGTACTAGAGAATCTGGCTTGGGCAATTAGGCAAAATAAAAAGAATTAAAGGCATCGAAATTGGAAAGGAGGAAGTATAACTATATCTCTTCACAGATTGACCTTGCATATAGATAACCCTAAGGAATACATACAGACACACAAACACACAATTAGAGCTAATAAATGAGAACAACAAGGTTGCAGGATAAAAGATCAATATAAAAAAAGTAATTGTATTTCTATACACTAGAAATAAATAATCTGAACATGAAATTAAGAAAATAATTTACAACAGCATCAAAAATAACAAAAAAAAAATAGGAATAAATTTAACCAAGAAAGTGAAAGATTTGAACATTGAAAACTACAAAACATTGCTGAAAGAAATTAAAGACCTAACTAAATGGAAAGGCATCTGTGTTCATGGATTAGAAGACTTAATATTATTAAGATGGCAGCCCTCCTCAAATTGAGCTGTAGATTCTACACAATCCCTATCAAAATCCCAGCTGCCTTTTTTGGCAGAAATTGACAAGCTGATCTTGAAGTTCACATGGAAATACAAAGGACCCAGAATAGACAAAAAAATCTTGAAAAGGAAGAAGAAAGTTGAAGGACACACACTTCCCGATTTCAAAATTTATTGCAAAGCTACAATAATCAAAACTGCATGGTACTGGCATAAGAGTAGCCATATAGGTCAATGGAATAGAATTATAAGTCCAGAAATAAACTCGTATATTTATGGTCAATTGATTTTCAACAAATGTGCTAAGACAATTATTCAATGGGGAAAGAATAGTCTTTTCAATCAGTGGTACTAGCACAACTAGATATTTACATGCAAATATTAATGCAAAGAATTAAGTTGGACCCCTACCTCACACCATATATAAAAATTAACTCATCATGGATAAGAGACTTAAAATGTAAGAGCTAACAATATAAACTATAAAAAGACAACATAGGCAAAAACATTTGTATCCTAGGGTTAGGCAGTGGTTTCTTAGATATGACACCAAAAGCACAAGCAACAAAAGAAAAAAGATATATTGGATTTCATTAAAATTAAAGGTTTTTGTGATTCATAGGGCACTCTCAAGAAAGATAACAATCCATAGGATAGGAGAAAATATTTGCAGATAATACATCTGATAAGGGACTAGTATCCAGAATATATAAAGACCTCTTAAAATTTAAGCATAAAAAAACAAATATCCTAATTTAAAAATGGGCAAAGGATCTGAGTAGACATTTTCCCAAAAATATATACAAATAACCAATAAGCACATGAAGAGATGCTCACCGTCATTAGTCATCAGGGAAATGCAAATCAAAACAACAATGAGATACCACTTCACCCTACTGGGATGGCTATGATTAAAAAGACAGATGATAACAAATATTGGCAAGAAAATGGAGAAATTGAAACTCTCATATATTGCTGGTTAAAATGTAAAATAGTACAGCCATTTTGAAGAACGTTTTAGCAGTTCCTCAAAGAGTTAAACACAGAGTTAACATATAACCCAGAAATTCCACTACTAGGTATATACTCATGAGAACTGAAAATATATGTCTATACAAAAACTTGTACACAACTGTTTATAACAACATTATTCATAATAGCTAAAAGGTAGAAACAACCCAAATATCCATCAATTGAATATTATTTATGGTATATCCATACAGTAGAATATTATTCAGCCGTTAAAAAGAATGGAGCACTCAGGGCCTGCCCGGTGGCAGAGTGGTTAAGTTTGCACGCTTCACTTCAGTGGTCCAGGGTTCGCAGGTTCGGCTCCTGGGCGCAGACCTACAGACCGTTTATCCAGCTATGCTGTGGCAGGCGTCCCACATATCAAGTAGAGGAAGATGGGCACAGATGTTAGCCCAGGGCCAATCTTCCTCAGCAAAAAGAGGAAGATTAGCAACAGATATTAGCTCAGGGCTAATCTGCCTCACCAAAAAGAAAAAAAGAAAGAATGAAGCACTGATACCTGCTACAACATGATTACCCTTGAAAACATTATGCCAAGTGAAAGAAGCTTGACACAAAAAGCCACATATTATATGATTCCCTTTATATGAAATGTCCAGACTAGTCAAATCCAGAGAGACAGAAAGTAGTTTAATGGTTTCCAGGGTCTGAGGAGAGGGAGAAATGGAAAATGACTGCTAACAGGTATGAGGTTTCTTTTGGGGATAATAAAAAAAGTTCTAAAATTAGAAGGTAGTGATCATTGCACAACTCTGTATATACAGCGAATAACTGAATTATACACTTTAAAAATGTGGATTTTATGTTATGTGAATTATATCTCAGTGGAAATATTAAAAGAGATCAATCTAGAACATGCTTGGTCTAGAGGTCATGTCTCTATTCAAACCTGGAACTGTGGGATAACCTTTCTGGGCTGAAGGCTAACCTTAAAATATTTTAGAAAATATTGTACTTTTCTGTGGAGCATCTGGAGTATGACTTTTCACCTCTCCAAACTGTACTTTCCTCAGAACAATTGTTTTGTTCATTTATTTACTTATTTAGACATAAAGGAAATTGGCATAATAAAGTATGCCATAGCATATTCAAACTATATAATTAAATGGCAGAATAAAATTCATCTTGATTATTTGATGATTAGCTAAACTTCAGTAGCTAAAATAATGAATAACATTCTTCTAAGAAGAGCACGTGTTGAGGAAAGGAATGTTTGCTAAAGAAAGGACTTTTTTCCCTAATTTTCTAGTGTTTCTAAATTGCATGAAATGTTTTTCTTCACTATTCTTTCTTTTTTGTTTGTTTAATCCCTTAGGCCCCTATTACTTTGTCTTCTCTCCAGACTAGTGCTTTATCTATAATATTGGGTTGGGTAGGTCATAAAATTCATTAGCTTCGAATACATAACTAGTCAATGGAAAGCATATTGAAATAAATTTGAAGTTTTGCCTATTTAGAGGTAAGATGGAGGTTTCATTTTTTATGTTCAATCCTGTAGTCTTCTAAAATTTATTAATACCTGCATTTAATATTTTACTACTTAATTGTTGGCACCAATACTTTTTCACCTTAGTACATCTGTTAACATTTTTAATTGAGTATTATTATCTATGCTTTGAGCATATGGAAGTGGTAACTTCATGACATTTTGCATAATTCAACCTTTGTAAATTGCTTACAGACTTAATACTTTATTTGCTATAACAAAGGAAGTAATATTTATTTGTTGAAGTTATAAAATCATTGGGATGGTAAATGTGAAACTGTCACAAAGAGACGCCTATTTACGCCCTCATCTGCTTCCTTTTTTATGACAACATATAGATCCTAAGAAGCATCAAAAACCTTGTATTTACCCATGTCATAGTTCTTAGTTTTGATTAATGGAAGGAGTTGGCACTTGGGAGCAAGTTGTTTGAGATTTGGCCCGAAAACAATGGACTGGCTCTTTCTCTGTTTTTTTCTTAACATGTGATCTTGTATATCTTTATTTTTCTGGCCAGGTTTAAGAGCAGGACTAGCTGCCTCAATTGCTGGGAGTTCTATTATCAACAAAATGTTACTGGCAAATATTGATCCTTTTGGTGCAACGCCATTTATTGACCCAGATCCAGATTCAGTGTAAGAAAATACTTATGCAAATACTTTGTTTTGGCTTTTCTTGTTTCTGTTTTATACTAATGGTGACATTTTAAATGTATTACATATTTATAAATAAATATGGTTCCATATACAAAAAGGATCATCAGAAAATTTCAGAAGTTGATAATGATGAGTATGTTGATCCATTTGAAATACAGTGGTTTTCATGATCTCTGGCTGAGGTAGGTCCCTTCCAGCCTATGGTCTCTGATAATAACCGTGTGGTGAAGTGAGGCACAGCTCTACTCACTTTTCCCTGGAATATTTTATTCATTGATGCCTTCATATCCATATTTTTGCTATTCCCTTTACCTCCTTTCTTCTCAGTTTTGCCAAATCTGTCATCTTTCCACATCCAGCTTCTGGGTTTGCTTATTTCGGGAAACTTCTGGCCCACATTGATCTCTTCCCTTCTTAAAACTCCCAAGAAAATTTTTGGCAGTTCATATATACTTCCGTTTTCTTCCTTAGTCAATTTTGCTTTTGTTATAACATCTCATTTCTCTAATGACAGTCCTCAAGGACAGAACCATGTTTTAAACTTTGTACTTTCCAAAGCTCCTAGAAGAATGGATTGGATCTAGTAGTTGTCTGCTGAATACATATTTGTTTATTGATTAGAGTAGAAGTGGAGGAGACTTTCTAATGATCAAAAAAAGAAGAGTATTAGTTAGTACCTGACTGCAAGGCCCTCTGTACATCTGTGTAGTGAGGGGCTTATGTAGGAGAGAGAAGAACTAAGATTTTGTTACAATTAATAGAAAAGCATTGCCATGACTTTGTCTCCACTTTGCCTTGTCCACCATCCCTTTATGTCTCATGTACCAGAAATTACACACATGGACAGGGATCATGCACCTGGCATATGAAGAAGTGATTCTTGCTAAGCTTTACTCTCTTCTATAAGGAATAGAAGCTTACATGGTGTTAAGTGCTATTTTGTGTACAAATTATAATTATTATGTATGAACCTGGAATTGACTTTTATGTACTTTTCCTTATTATCATAGAGATGGATATTCAGAAAAATGTGTCATGAACAATTACTTTGGGATTGGATTAGATGCAAAAATTTCATTAGAATTTAATAATAAGAGAGAAGAGCACCCTGAAAAATGCAGGTAATTTTGGTAATAGTAATAATGTTATTACTTGAAGGCAATTTTACTTTAATTTCATTTATTATCTCTTTTGCTTACTCTGCCTTTACAGAGTACATAAATAATAGTTACTGAAATTGCCTGCCAACATTTATTTTCAGGAGCCGAACTAAAAACTTGATGTGGTATGGAGTCCTTGGAACGCGGGAGTTATTACAGAGATCGTACAAGAATTTAGAACAGAGGGTTCAACTTGAAGTAAGTTCATCTTGAAGTAAATACGTTTCAGATTGTCTTACTTAGAAAAATAATTTCATTTGTGGGGCTAATTTGGTCTAAATTCCTCTTGATTGGTGATTAAACACTCAAGGGGGAAAAATGGAAGTGATTATCAACTTTATACTAAAGGAGGTGTAGACACTGGATATGAGTGACACCCTTAATTATCATTATCATTAGCGCCTGAGATTTGGATGCTACTGTGGAGTCACGGTGCCCCATGGAAAGGTGGAGCCATGGAGTATATTTATAGAATAGGATTTTTAACAGATGTTCTCATTTAAGTTTCCAAATTCTGACCCAATTCTATAATACTTGAAGTTTTACCCTGTAAATAGCATTCATAGTAAATAGAATCTTTTAATTTAAGGGTATTTTTTGTTCCAGTTATTTCTAACAACAAGTTAGTAAAACAAAAAGAGATTTTGAACATTTAAATTTTTTAGTATTTTTTACTAATTTAAATAAGAAATTAAGGACAGCAAAAGTGATTTAATTTCCTCTGATAACAGGAAAAAGAAGTTTGGGGTCATGGCTCTGAAAAGTCTACTAATTTCTGTGAATTTATTTTCTTTCACCCTTGGTTCAGGGCTCACTGTTTATGCTGATAGGCATGTCTTTCCTTTGTTGTTAGTGCTGTCCAGTTGATTCCAACTCCTAGTGACCCTGCATACAGCAGAGCAGAACCCTGCCTGATCTTTTTGTGCCATCCTCTCAGCTTCTGGTGCTATATCAGACAATGCTCCACTGCTATTCATAAAGTTTTCATGGCCAAGTTTTTCAGAAGTGGGTGGCCAGGTCCTTCTCCCTAGTCTGTCTTAGTCTGGAAGCTCCACTGAAACCTGTCCACCGTGGGTGACCCTGCTGGTATTTGAAATACCAGTGGCATAGCTTTCAGCATCACAGCATCACTCAGCTGCCACAGTATGACCACCGATAGATGGGTGGTGTGGTTCCCTGACTAGAAATGAACCCAGGCTGTGGTGGTGAGAGCGCTTTCTTAACCACTAGACCACCAGGGCTGGCTCTGTCTTTCCTATCTTGTATCTTTATAACCAGATATTTTTTTTTTTTTTTTTTTTTATTTATTCAGTTTTTTCCCCCCAAAGCCCCAGTAGACAGTTGTATGTCATAGGTTCACATCCTTCTAGTTGCTGTACGTGGGACCCGGCCTCGTGTTGGAGGGAGAAGTGGTGCCTCGGGGCGCTCCCGGGATCCGAACCCGGGTCGCCAGCATCAGAGCGCGAGCACTTAACCGCCAAGCCACAGAGCCGGCCCCAGATATTTTTAATTAAGGTATCTTCTACATACAGAAAAGTGTTCAAATCTTAAGTCTACAGCTCAATGAATTAAACTTAGCATTATTATTTTAGGTATTATCTTAACACTGGAATATAGACTAAAGAGGTGCCTGGCTCATTCATTATAAACTAAATGTCCTAGTAAATATAATAGGCTTCTATTATACCTTCCACTCTAGAGCACAACTACATGATCACCTGGTTTGATGTACCATTGCTTATAAAATTAAGATAACTGTTACTGGCAGGAAAGGTGCAAAATCAGGAAAGTTCACACCTTGTAAACACCATCTTTGACCATCCCCAGGTCCCTGCACCATCCCCAGGTCAACTTGGGTTCTCTCCTATGTATTGTACAGTAAGCATTTGTTTTTCTATCCACATCTCCTTCCCCTAGTGGGCCATACTCTTCTTAAGGACAGGTAGGGAATTATATTATTCTTTGTAAACTCATGTCTTGCACAATGCCATACCTGTTTTGAGGGGGAGACAGACAGGTAAATGATCATTTTACCATAATTTGCTAAGTGCTGTGATCAAGCCCCATAGCCGGCCATCTTGAAGATTTAGGGAACTATCTGGAATCAGAATGGTTGGATTGCCTTTATTCCTAGAAGAGCCTTGAGCTCTTCAGAAATAGTATTTCTAGCCCTTTCTACTGATAGTCCAAATTCTGAACACGACTATCTTAAATACACAGCTACTTTTTCCTGTCCATTCAACGGTGGTTCTTAACCCTTTTTGAGCTGTGGATCCCTTTGGCATTCTGGTGAAACCATGGACCACTTCTAAGAATATTGTTTTTAAATGCATTATATAAAATACATAGACTTATAAAAGAAACCAATTATATTGAAATACATTAACTGAATATTTTTTCTAGTTTTATTGAAAAATAATTGACATACATTACTGTATAAGTTTAAGGCACACAGCATGATGGTTTGATTTATTACATATATTATGTAAAGATTACCACAGTAGGATCAGCTGACATCTGTCATTTCATGTAGACACCATAAAAAGAAGAGAAAGAAGAAAAGAAAAGAAAACATTTCTCATCGTGGTGAGAGTTCTTAGGATTTACTGTCTTAACACTTTGCTGTATATCATGCAGCAGTGTTAACTGTAGTCATCATGTTGTACATTACATCCCTAGTACTTATGTATCTTACAACTGGAAGCTTGTACCTGTTGATCTTCTTCCTCCAGTTCCCCCTGCCCCCACCCTCTGCCTCTGGTAACCACAAATCTGATCTCTTTTTCTATGAGTTTTTTTTTTTTGAGATTCCACATACAAGTGAGATCATAGAGTATTTATCTTTCTCTGTCTGACTTATTTCACTTAGCATAATGCACTCAAGGTCCATCCATCTTGTTTCAATGGTAGGATTTCCACATTTGTTTTTATGGCTGAATAATATTCCATTGTATATATATATACCACAACTTCTTTATCCATTCATCCATTGATGGAGCTTTAGGTTTGTTTCAATGTCTTGGCTATTGTAAATAGTGCTGCTATGAACATGGGGGTGCAGGTATCTTTTCAAGTTAGTGTTTTTGTTTCCTTTGGATATAGTCCCAGAAGTGGAAATGCTGGATCTATGATAATTCTATTTTTCATTTTTTGAGGATCCTCCATTGTTTTCCATAGGGCTGTACCATTTTACAATCCCACCAACAGTGCAGAAGAGTTTCCTTTTCTCCACATCCACGCCAGCATTTATTATCTCTTGTCTTTTTGATGATGGCAATTCTAACAGGCATGAGGTGCTATCTCATTGTGGTTTTAATTTGCATTTCCCTAATGACTATGATGTTGGGTGATGTTGAGCATCTTTTCATGTACCTGTTCGCCTTTCATGTATCTTCTTTAGAGAAATGTCTATGTAGGTCCTTCGCCCAAATTTTTTTCTTTTCTTTTCTTTTTTTTTTTTTTGCTTGAGGAAGCTCGTCATTGAGCTAACATCGGTGCCAATCTTCCTCCATTTTGTATGTGGGACGCCACCACTGCATGGCTTGATGAGCAGTGTGTACATCTGCGCCTGGGATCTGAACCCGCAAACCCCAGGCCACTGAAGTGGAACATGCAAATGCAACCACTACGCCACCGGGCTGGCCCCATGTCCTTCTCTCATTTTTTAATTAAGTTATTTGGGTTTTTTGCTATTGAGTTTATGAGTTCTTTTTATATTTTGAATATTAACCCCTTGCAAATATTTTTTCCCATTCCGTAGGTTGTCTTTTCACTTTGTTGATGGTTTCTTTTGCTGTACAGAAGCTTTAGTTTGATGTAGTCCCACTTGTTTTTTATTTTGTTGCTTGTACTTTAGGTTTCATATCCAAAAAATCATTACCAAGACACATGTCATGGAGCTTTATTCCTATGTTTTCTTTAAGGAGTGTCATGATTTTGGGTCTTACATTTAAGTCTTTAATCCATTTCAAGTTAATTTTTGTGGTCGTATAAGATAGGAGTACAGTTTCATTCTTTTACAAGTGAATATCCATATCCTAGCACATTTATTGATGAGACTATTTTCTCTACATTGAGTGAGTATTCTTGACTCCCTTGTCAAATATTAGTTGACCATATATGCTTGGGTTTATTTCTGGGCTCTTGATTTTGTTCCATTGGTCTATTTGTCTGTTTTTCTGCCAGTACCATACTGTTTTGATTACTATAGCTTTATAGGATAGCTTGAAAGTATTATGCCTCCTGCTTTGTTCTTCTTTCTCAGGATTTGTTTGGCTATTCAGGGTCTTTTGTGGTTCCATATAAATTTTAGAAGTATTTTTTCTACTTCTGTAAAAAAATGCCATTGGGATGTTAATAGGGATTGCATTGAATCTGTAGATGGCTTTGGTAGTACTGACATTTGAACAATATTAATTCTTCCAATCCATGAACATGGGATATCTTTCCATTTATTTGTTGTCTTCTTCAATTTCTTTCGTCAGTGTCTTTTAGTTTTCAGGGTAGAGATCTTTCACGTCCTTGGTTAAATTTATTCCTAAGTATTTTATTCTTTTTGATGCTATTGTAAATTGAATCAATTTCTTTATTTCTTTTTCAGAAAATTCATTGTTAGTGTATAGAAACACTACTGATTTTTGTATGTTAATTTTGCATCCTGCAACTTTACTGAATTCATTGATCTAACAGTTTTTTGGTTGAGTCTTTAGGATTTTCTATATATAAAATCATGTCATCTGCAAATAGAGACAATTTTACTTCTTTCTTTCCAATTCTGATACCTTTTATTTCTTTTTCTTGCCTGAGTCCTCTAGCTAGGACTTCTAGTACTATGTTGAATAGGAGTGGTGAGAGTAGGTACCTTGTCTTGTTCCTGATCTTAGAGGAAAAGCTTTCAACCTTTCACCATTGAGTGTGATGTTATCTGTGGGCTTGTCATATATGGCCTTTATTATGTTGAGATATGTTCCTTCTATGCCTAATTTGTTAAGAGTTTTTATCCTGAATGGATGTTGAATTTTGTCCAATGCTTTTTCTGCATCTATCGCAATGATCATATGATTCTTTTCTTTCATTCTATTAATGTGAAGTATCACATTGATTGATTTGCATTTGTTCAACCATCCTTACATCCCAGGGATAAATCCCATTTGATCATTGTGAATAATCCATTTAATGGACTACTGAATTTGGTTTAC